AACAGACAGCTACCCTGTCTAGACAGGAACCATTATTATTGATTCCATCTATTATGCAATAAACGACTTCAGTTTGGAGCTAATAAAAATACGTCTACAAAATATCCTTTTTTTAAACCCACGCACGAAGTTTTTGCCGCAGCACTGTAGAACCTTTTAACCCTTATTCTGCCGCAAAGCACCTAGATCGAGATCTGACCCCTGATAGCTTGCGGGGTCATCGTGGGGCAATATTACGCATGCGACACTTTCTGCCTAGGACATATTGGGGCACAGTAATTCATCTTGCAAAACAAACACTTTGAGGTTTTAAATAAATTGCTGTAAAATTTTGTAAATTACAATCTGAACAATACGAAAAGTGGCCACGACTGAAATAATGCAATTACCTATATGTGTCCGGATACAACTTCAGACAATTATTGTACATATTGTCTTCATACCTAAGTAAATAAGTATAGGTAGGTACTTCCAAAATTAATAATCATTCACCTAAAATTAAATTCAAATACAAGATGTATTATTCCTGTATTTTAATTTTAATCCTTACTTTGTTGAATTTCAATATTCAGACGATCCACAGGCATGAACTCTCTGTTTGATTGTGGATTCATAAAATAATGTGCTTCAGAGTTGGATCAAAATACGGGTGATATAAATTGAGAACTTAAAGTTTCAGTTCCTATAATTAAAACTCAAAGCTACAACAAAAACGTAACTAACATAGTTTCTGTATGCTTTACCGCGATTGTTCTTTTATTGCTATGCAAAATCCGTCTTACGTACACAGCACTAAAGTTTTCTTTCCTTTTGGTTACAGAGATTAGTTACTGTCCAATTTTAGTGTACTGTGCCGGGACACAGGTGCGACAAATCTTTTTTACTCGTAATATTACTCACGAGTTCTAGGCAATCGCATTCTTTTCGTATCAGCACGAACTTCGCTTCGGCAGTTTGGAGAGCTCGTTGTTCTTAATGGTATGGTAATATTGTAATTTTATATTTCTAGGTCTTTACTTGGTCAGATTTTGGCCTCGATTATTGATAATGTTTTTTCCTCTATCAAACTTTTTTTTAAGACAATTTTATTCTTAGGACTTATCAATCCCAAAATATAACTTTTAAGATATTGTAGATTACTAGAGATGGAAAAAAATACAAAAAGTAAAGCGTAATAAAAGATTATCAAACACAAGTGGGAAACGTAATCATGTTTAAACTTATTCTTGTAAAGCTCGGCCTACTGGGAACCAGCCAACAGCATACACAGAAAGTATAATAGAAATAGGTCTATGAATAACAAAATAAACCAATCCGCCAAAATTAATTTTGCCAAGAACCACCTTTTGTACTCGACAGCACATCAGACTATACAATTTTCATTGCAAAAATAGGTCTTATTTCAACTACATAAGATGCTCCAATGTTTAGCTAGATGTGCTCTGTACTACAAAAAGGATGAGCCACAAGAATCGTCTATTCTCAAGACATTGATTAATAAAGTCAAGTGGGTCATTTCTGTTCTCATAAAGCAAGAAAATGGCGGCGATCATCTGCCTCTCCATAATTAAATAAGATGCCCGAGATAGTGGTTAGGGTTGACACTACAATATTGTTTCGTTCGTTCGTTTCAGCCGAATGATGTCCACTGCTGGACAAAGGCCTCCACAATGAACGGTCCAGCGCCGCCCGCATCCAGGCACCTCCCGCGCGTGACTTTCACACCAGATCTCGGTCCACCTAGTGGGCGGCCTGCTCACACTATGTCCTCCTTGTAGATTGTATGCAACTTGTCAAGCTATCAAGATGCGCCACAAAACAAGATCTCTTTATATTCTGCCACTGTTATTGTTATTGTTTATTTATAAGAAATTATTTTTATCTTGGATACTTGGATAATCACATTATTAATCTTTGTTAGGGATTCGTGGACTTATAAATGAACGAAACCCCTTTTCTGTGTAGGTAGGTATAATGTGCGTAAAATTACCCATAAAATTAGCCAATTCAAAAAATACGGCTACAGCACTGATTGTGCGGGATCAACGCCTATTAATTCATTTTACCTATATATTATCGCTATTAGTAGGTATAAATTTCATCCATTTAAATTCAAAAATGGCCGCTGCAATTTCAACTGTAGGTATAAACGCAGATCGCATCGCCATAGCATATAGTAGCTAGTAGGACCTACACATTAATCATTAAGCTTTCATCTTCATTCAAACTCAGCTAACATTTTGTCAAATCAGCAGTAATATAACACACATAAAAATCGACAACATCATGATAAATAAAAATCGACTCTAAGAAAGATTAAGCTGTCTCAGTATTAATAACATTACTTAACTTTGCAATTTTACAAACTTGGGACCTACTCATATCACTAGACGTAGACAACTCGATAATAATGTTTTGCGGCTTCATTTGTAATAAAAATTGCCAGCTTCTACTGACTCTCTCGGCCAACAAGAGCTTTTAATTACACATAATTTTGCTTTTGACACGTTCCCGAATGAGCATCAAATTCATATTTAGTAGCAGCCCTGCGTGTATGAAGAAATCTCCTTTCAGAGTTGAAGCGCAAAATGTGAAATAAAATATGTATAACGCGAGAAATCGTCGAGAATCCGAAGTTTGAAACTTGGGCCTACTTTCGACTTAAACTACATGAAAATTTAACTCGAAATTAGTGTATCGCAGACAACTTCATCTTTCTTATTTGGTTTAATCAGACAGCTCGAGCGAATTATGCATATGAATTCTGAATTCGTATTACGAGTGGCTGCAAATAATGCGGTTCTTCTTGAACTTTGTTAGACATCAGCCACATACAAAATACTTATGAGCATTTCATTATGTTCAGTGTTAAGCGTTTCTATATTGTCAAGTCAATTTAAGTCATTGTTTATTTAATAATAATAAATGATTTATTTTCTGACACAAAATACAGGATAAAATACATTAAAGAAAACACATTTGAAACTTTGTAGTAATAGGGAGGTATGTTTTAGTAGTGCTTTGTTGAATGTGATTGACTATTGAGCTTTGATTTAGGGGTTCAATAGAATACTTAATGTGTCAGTACCTCTAGTACGAAAAACTTTCGAGTTCGTTTCGTTGCGTATTCAAAGTGTCATCGAAAAATTTTGTATGAAAAATTAAACAGCGCCCCCTATATTATAGCCGCCCTAGGGGGCGCTGTTTAATTTTTCATACAAAATTTTTCGATGACACTTTGAATACGCAACGAAACGAACTCGAAAGTTTTTCCTACTAGAGGTACTGATCATATAATTTACTGCAGCTTTACCAGGTTATTTGTTTACTAAACTTCAAACGAGTGCAGTTGCAGATTCAAATTCATTTGGAGGGAGAATATTGTGGTGAGCACGAGCTTCAACAAACAATTGTTTTGTCGTAAATCTAAGTTAGTATTTATCTACTATATTTTGGTTTGGTTTGATAAAAAATAAATAAAATTTTCAGAAAGAAGCCCAAACATTGATATTCTTTATACCTATTGGTTGATCTTGAGTTGATACATCTTACAGAGGTCTTATCGGTTTCTAAAATTGCTATCTCCAAAAAAATCTACTCAAGTATGTTTATTTGATATAAAAGTATTCCAGCAAACTCGAGTTGATCGCGCTGATGTTAGGTCAATACCCACGGGCTTCTATAAACAACTTGCCTCACGCTTGTCAAATCGTCTACATACTCGTAGTCACAAATATTTTTGAACAATGTCACAAGTCCGAGCGAAGTCATCTCCCTCAACAAATACGGCAAAGAAACTACAAGATGTAGGCGCTCTGGAAGTGAAGGTTAACAATTCTTTGAATGGGATACTATCTTGCTGATAATCTTAACAAAATCTTATCATTTTATCAGATATGTTACCACTATTTTTATATTGATTTACACATAACCCACTTGGTGAAAAGATCAAAAACACTACGTTACCAAGTCTACCTATCGACGTTGAAGTTGAAGTGACAATACCTCGTAACATTTCTTAAGAAATCGATTTTCTTAATACAATTGGTGCACTTTTTCCATTCCAAATTTTTCTCTTAAGTGACATTTTCTTTTTAGATGGCAATAAAACTCTGTGGAAATAGCTGCTATATAAGTAATATTTACGTATTTTTTTCTACCTCCTGTAAACCAAACAAATAAATGCAGTTGGGAGGTTTTGTCACTTCAACGTCGCTTAAAATGTTTCCTATGACATAAAACAATGGAGGGCATAAAAATATTATTAAAAATAGACATTCTATAATGGCCGTTTGCAAGTCCAATAAACCAGAATTCAAAATTGGTATAAAATGGACCTCTAAATTTTTTTGCCAAAATCACATGCAAATGAAGTCTATAATTTAATAGACTGAAAAATTGCCCGTATTATAAAGCGACACGCTCAAAACTCGATTCAATATTGAGTAGAGATGTACTTTCGAAAACTTTTCGGCTGTTCCAGCAAGCTCTAATTCCTTGAACTGCTATTGGCTATCTGGACATCTGTGTGCGCGCGGTGTTTGCGTTTCATCTCTGCGAGCGACGCGCGCGGCTAACGTTGCGCGCGCAGCGATCTCATTGCGATAACTTTGAGCGCTATCACGATTTTACGCCATGAAAACCTTGCATTAACATTCCACATCTGCTTTGCGTTTCAGTGAATGACCAGTAACAATTCTCTTTGCTCGTGATGATGTCTTACGGATGCAGGGGACTGTGTACTTGATAGGTATTGCCCTACTTTTGGGAAATTGTGACGTAGTAGGTAGCTAGTGCGAGGATAAGATAGGAAGCGATTCTGGAAAGTATAGGTACTTTGATAAAGGATTTACATATTTAATAACTTAACTGAGTTTAATCTTTTTATAGTAGGTATTTTGCTCGAAGTTGAAGAATCATTCAATGTTTAGATAGGCTGTTTGTTATCTGTTTACCATATACAAAGGAATAGTCAGCAAATAATCGATGAAAACAATATGTAAACCAAGAAGTTTATTAAACAAACAGTTAAGTGTACATTCTCTGAGCTAATCTTCTATAAGTTTCTTTAGATTCATCTCCTCAGCTAGCATATCACCGTAGTCGCCGATATCCGAAGGCCTAAGAGTGTTCATCATTACGTTAACTTCAGGTTTAATGGTAGATTCTTTATCAGTATTAATTTCTTTATCAGCAAATCCATTAGACTCGCGTTGCTTTAACACGTTTAATCGCCTCCCACATTTACACTCAGCATCACCCTTGTTGATTCGGCCGTTCAAATACTGCTTCGTTGATTTTAATACACAATTGCTATAATTACAATTGTTGTTCTTTACATTCATCCGGTCATTCGTAACTTGAACTTCCAGCGACTCTTTCAAATACCTATCCAGAAGTTTGTTTATTTCAATATTATTATTTTCGTTAATAAGCTTTTTAAGAATACTATCAGTGCCCTTTCCTAGCTCATCAGGTTTACTGAATTGAGGTATACTTCTTTGATAACCATAAGGTGTTGGAAAACCGTAGTTGTCGTAATATGCCATAGCAAACTGGCGAGATATGTCTAAAGGCTGATTGGGATCCTGCAAGTTTCTGTTCAGAGATGGGTAATTTTGTTGAGATGGAACAGATATCGGCCATTGTTGGTTTTCTTTTTCAGATGTATGGACGGGCCTCAAAAGAGGCGGTTTCAGAAGTTCTACGTATTCCCGTTGCTCATCTGTAACTTTGTTAAGTGGCCTACTTTTTGGCATCCCAAAATCATGTTTATTTTCATTGGTTAGCTCCTTGTTTGTTTCCTGATAATCACTTGCTGGCGGGAAATACAAATTATTGGTTTCTACTCGACCAATATTTGCTTCAAAGTATTCATTTTTTGGCTTCGGAATATTAAATGCAGAAGTGTGTTTAACTGGATACTGAACATAATCATCACCGTTAGGTATCAAAGACTTGTAAGTTTCCCTTATCAGATCTTGCGAAGTATAAAGTTGGTTCACAACTGGAGTTTTGAATTTCTGGTTGATGTAAATAAACGATCGCTCATTTACGTTATTGTGTTTCGTGGTATCTTGATCGTACAACTCGTTGTCTTTTATACGATTGCGATTTGTTTCAAGGTCGATTTTCTTTTCATTGTGCGTCCGAAAAGGTAAGACAATAAAGCCTGTATCTTCTTGAAGTGTGGCTCTTTTTGCTTCTTCAGATTCTTTCCCATTGTTATCAGCTAAAATCGCGTGGTTATCATCTATGAGCTGTGAAATAAAATATAACTTACTGACTGACCGTTGTTAAAATAATATTTTTTCTATAATCAATTATTTGACATTTTTCTGTAATCAGGTATTTTGTATTATTTGATTTTTAAACCATTTTAAATCAGATTCTAAGAACTATTTTGATGACATAAATAGCACTGATTCCTTTGTGTTACCTTTTCTCAATATTATATGAAACTGAATGACTTTCTTTTCAATTCCAAGCAAACAGAATTGGAAATAAAGTGCATTTAATACTTTTATATAGTAATGACGTCGCTGCTACTCACCTCCAGAACTCCCGAGGGAACAATAAATCCGGAAGCAAGTCCAATACACAAGGAAACTAAAACAACAAACGCATTTCTCATTTTCCACGAAATAACGGCGCAAATAATAAAAATGTGTCGGACTGCACTGATAAATATTTATAAAACAAAACGTACGCTTACAACGGGATACAGAGTTGGAATAAGAAATTATTATTGACAATAGCTGTGTGGCATTCTAAACAAACAAACAAATGGTGATCTTTTTAAACAAACAATGTGATTGTGGTATCCATCAGCTAAATAAATGCAACGTTCGGTTGGCATATTTGCTTTGTGGATGAAATGTAACAGCCGATATCAGATGAAATAATTTTCAATGTACTTATTTTGGATAGGGCTTATCAACGCATTGATTACGTAACCATTTGAGATGTTTCTTAGATTGTAGGTGTCATCAATTGCTATACTAACCATTGTTACTTATTAGATAATCTTATCAGACTTTCAAAATTACTTACAAACAAGTAAATGTATTTAAAAAGGTTTAAAAGTTCTCGTAATATTCAATCAAGTAGAATTTCTTCAGAATCGTGGAAAAAGATCAGTATTGGCTAAATAATGAACTCGATATTAAATTCTGAAAATTACGTAATGTATTTAAATTATTATGTTTTATTATTATGTCAGTGTAAGGCAAAATTAAATGAAATCCAATATTATGTTTACAATTTTAATAAATTGCAGAAAAGTCTCTCACTTAGTATTTCAGTTTGTCAAGTAGGTGTAAATATTTTACCTATCACCATATTAAATAAACTTCAGTTCTGTCCAAAGATGGCGGACAGTTGCTCCAAGAACACTGTTATGTCGATGCCATTGTCAGCCAAAGTCTGGACCTCAGCAAGGAACTGCTCGTTAGCCCATAGAGCGGAGTACACCTGGTTCCACTCCTCGCTCTGCAGACCCTCGACGGCAGTTCTGAAGTCCTCATCCTCAGCCATTTTCTGGTTGAAGAGGGCAGTCAACTTCTCCTTAGGGTACACAGCGTAGCAATCTCTTATGAAGGATGTGAAGTCGCGACCGCTGACGCTGTGGCGCGTTTTCTTGACGTTAACCGTTATGCCTGTAAAAAAATATTGTGATTAATTAATAGTGGTCTAATGGTTAATTTTCAACTTTCAAAATTCTAGTCTTTTAAAATTAACGGTGGGACACCAAATTATTAAATCAAAGCATGTTAATGTTACATTGTCATTTAAAATACAAAAAATAATAATCTTACCCAACATATCGTTCAAATCATCGATGAAGTAATAAACATCAATGCCATGGCTATTTAAATATTCCAGTACCTGAAATTTATAAGAACTATAGAATAAACTATAGTACGAATTTTATAAGAACTATAGAATAAACTACTGAAATTTTAGAAGTAATGGGAAAATCTATGGTGGTAAAAATACTCACAGCCTTAAATTCAGGAAGCGATTCCATTTCATACACGAGCTCCTTAAAACTGCCAGTCTGCATGTAGTCAAGTGTGTTCATGAACTCCTCAAACTCGAGGTAGTGTCCAACAATATGCATCAGATCCGAAATAGATTCTTCCTCAATCAGCTCAATGAAGTCTTCGTAATGTTCATGAAATTGCTTTCTTGGTTGAGGACCTGGAGCCCCCAAAGCAACCGTGATCAAAGTAACAAGAACTAAGAACTTCATGGTTGTGGTTTCTTGAACTGATACTAATTTTGACAGAATACCAGCTTTTATACTGAAAAATTCACCAGATAATATCTCGTAACTTAATCATGACATATGGATACGATGTTTCCTGTTTCAAAGACCATTACCGAGAATTAAGATTAGAAACAGATAGATTCTCATGAATCATATCATACTCTCGAGAGATAGTGACATATTTTTAGAGCACTATGCAGGGTGGAAACGATAAGTGATCTCGCTCGATTGTTACTAAACTATACAAGATATCAATAAACTAGTTATTGATCCTGAAAGTGCTTCATGAGTTCTATCAAATGGTATTAATAATAGGTTACAGTATAAACTAGATCTATCCGAAAATTCAATGTTTCCAGCTTCCATACATTTTGTAAAGTCACATTATTTTTAAAACTACACATGATATCGTAAAACAGAATACTGATTGTAAAAGTGCTTCACAAGTTCTATCCAATAGTATCAAATAATAGGTTACAGAATAAAATTCAATGTTTCCTTCTTCCATACATTTAGTAGGTACTACCACATTCATGACACTCATCTCTTTACAATATTATAGCAAGTAAAGCCTAAAACTAATGTTTTCCATGAATAATTTTAAATAAGGATACAATTTACGAGTTTATTTTAAGAGTTTATTATTAAATAAAAAAATACACTTCTAATATTGTGTGGCTGGCATACATTTAGTATGAAAGCTGGAAACATTGAATTTTCAGATAGATCCAGTTTATTCTGTAACCTATTATTGGTACCGTTTGAAAAAGCTCATGAAGCACTTTCAGGATCAGTAACCAGTTTTTCAATATCTTGTATAGTTTAGAAATAATCGAGGGAAATCACTTAACGTTTACACCCTGTATATTTAAGGTGAAGATAATCCTCATGTTTAGTTGTGATAAAAACTGGTTCGTACAGTCAGTAATAGAAAAATTATATTTTTAATGGGTAGGTAAGTACTATCGGCAACAGTCTTAACTGCTCATTGCCGGTCAATCGCCAAAGAATCACCACCATTTGATGAGAGCGAGAGCAAAAACGGAAATGGATAGTTAACACTGTGGACGATAGTACTCGTAGAACCAGTAGAACTGTCTCAGTAATTTCAACATTATGTAACTTACCAAACTAACATAAGAAGTTTACAGTAATTACTCGGTTCATAGAAATTATGGTGATAATGTTAATTGGGCATTTTGGTTTGCAAGATTGGCAAAAAAAATTATACAAATTTTTATTCGCAGCATCGCCACTACAAAGCCAGTCTGTCGCAGTAAGTCTACATACTGTGCTCAAAAACATGGTCATAAAATTCTAACAATTTATCCACAAAGTTATACCTACTCATAAGTTATAAGTATTTTTGTTGATCTACATAGAATTCTAAAGAGATATCTATAAGCAAAATTAAAATACAGTTTAAACCTAAATAAATATTTAATAACCTACTGATTATTTCAGCGCTGTTTTTTAGTTTACAGGTGGTTTTATTTATTAATCTGCCATCATTTAGTTAATTAATAGAACTACCGACTCACTTAAGATCCATTATTGTAAGCTAAGTAAACATAATTTAAGAAAATCCATTTTATGTCATGCAATAAATTATTGAGATCTTTCAGGAATTCAAACAGGCACTCTTGTATGAAGAAGAAGTGATAGTGTACGTTGTGTAACGTAGGTGAATAAAACATTGAGTCTGTGTAGAAAACTTTTATTAGTGGATCATTTAACAATCCCTCTACAACCAGATTTAGTTCTGGCCGAAGACAGCGACGAGCTCGTCAAGGAGGACTTTGACATCTACGCCATTTGCATTGAGGGTGTTGACCTCAGACAGGAACTGCTCGTTCTCCCATAGAGCAGACCAGACCTGCGCCCACTCGTCGCTTTGGAGACCCTCGATGGCGGCCTTGAAGTCGTCGTCCTCAGCCAACTTCTGGTCGAAGAGAGCTACCAACTTGCTCTTGGGGAATTCGGAGATGCAGTCCTGGATGAAGGCGGAGAAGTCACGGCCGCTGAGGGTGTGACGGGCCTTGCGCTGGGGTGGTCCAGTTTCTGAAATTATAATAATGTTTATTTAAATGTGGATTTGGGGAAAATATCTGCGATCGGGATATTTTTAAGAATCAAAATCATTAACGCAAGTTGGTAGAAGTAGAAAATTAGATATTATGTAACAAGTATCATGTAAGTATCAAGTAAGATGATACAGTACCTACTATACTCTCTCGTACAGAGAAATAAATAATACCTATAATTGAGAGCTAATAAAATTAAATAATGATTTCTTCCTTTCTGATAATAAAGCATATTCATTAAATTACACTTACCCAACATCTCGTTGATTAAATCGATGAAGTAGTGGATGTCAATGCTGTGGCCCTCCAAGAAGTCTAGCACCTGAAAATTTACAAATGCAATAACGTAAATATGTGTTAAAATTATGCAACATAAAATGGACAAACGTAATTAAGAGCACGAGTCGTGATTTTTTAATTTTCTAAGTGCCACTTAAGGCTGTTCCCTACAACGATCTAATCTATTTACTCGTAGTGAGATGCTGATTTGAGTAACAGTGACGTATATCCAAGAAGAAGTTGAAGTCGCTTAAGTATGCGGGGAGATTACAAAAGACGAATTCAAAATTAAAATAAGGTAATTCTCTGCATTATTAATTAAGCAATAAATCTAACCCAAGATCCCTTTCCACCAATGTTCCATAATAAAGTATGAACTCATAATAAAAGTATTAAACACTCACAGCCTTGAATTCGGGCAGCTCCTCCATCTCATAGATGAGGTTCTTGAAGTTGTTTGTTGCGAGGTAGTCCAGGGTCTGCGTGAACTCTTCGAACTCCAGGTAGTGCTCCATGAGGTGGTCCAAGTCATGGCCAGCTTCATCGAAAATCAGGTCGATGAAGTCTTCAAAGTTCTCATGGAAAACCTTCCTCGGCTGAGGAGCGGCGAAGGCTACAGCCACCAGGGCGAACAGAACCAAGAACTTCATGTTGGAGCTTGGATCGAAATGATACTGGATTGGGTAAGCTGACATATTTTATAGTAACGAATTGAGAGGAAGATAAGATTACGTGTACAGTTAAGATCATGTGAGTGTCTGATAGGCATGCTGGAAAATTGTGATCGAAAAATCAAGTAATTGAATGTACGAGCATGAGTATGCCTTTTAACCTGCCAGCCTGTAAAATATAAAAGATTTTTTTTATGCATAACAAGGCAGGTATTTGACGACAATCGCACCTGATGTGAAGTGGGATGATATTTCAGCAAATATCGCATTTCTTCGAAGCTTGGTAATTAAAAGTTGATTGTAATATTTTTTTTATTTGCTTTAATTTACTTCAATTTATGGAACTGTAAAGATCTCTTGAAAATAGTTTTAGTTGGTAGTTCTTAGATTGGACTATTCAGATATAAAAATAATTTAAAAATATGTATTGTCATAATACTCATGTATAACGTTACAAATTGTGTTACAAATCCCAAAATAACTCGACCCCTCTGAAGCTCGCCGTCCCATAAATAAATTAGGTCCTAGTTGGCTGGATGACTGAAAGTTAATTTCCACAGTCACATTTCACGTGGTTTCAGGCATAGCTAGTGACCAAATCAAGAATTTTTAGCTGTAGGGAAAACCTGTGGTTCAACAAAAAACAGGAACTAATAACTAAAAATTAAAAGGAAAATACGTAATCTGATCATCAATCAAAAAGTTTTGTTATTTCGATTTTATTTATTTATTTTATAGGAAAACAAACAGCATTCTATAAACACACATAGATTTTATTACATTTATTTACTTACTCAAATACTAAAGTTCTGATCCGCAAATTATTATTAATTAAAATGAAGACAGTCGTTAACTGCGCAGTGTAACTTATTTATTTAACCTTCAACTATAACATCATTATAATAAAGATCAAAACAGCTTCCACTCATTATAAAATAAAAGTGGGTAGTTCCTGTTCATGCACTTCAAGCTGTCAATCGCTAAATCAACTGCAGAACGTGACTTATTCCAGCAACTAAAACATCACCGATTTAAAGTGCCTGATAATATCGTTAGAAACAAAATGGGTGACGCCGAAAAAACCACAGAAGACTCCATTTTATCAGCAGACGAATCAAGTACTTCTGGGTTTATTGATGATTACTCACACTTGCGTCTGTCATACCATAGGGACATGGATGAGTCATGGGAAATTGTGGAGATGTCGTCATGGGAAATTGTGGAGATGTCACAAGATGAAGCTGAAGTTTCTAATGTGAGTGACAAAACTGATGATGCAAGTGACGCGCGGCAGAAACTCCGGGAATTTTGGATCTCACAGATGCCGGATTTGCCCCACCCTTCAGTGACCATGGCCTCGATTATATCGTCAGCTTCGCAGAAGATGGGAATGGTTCAGCTGAAGTACAGCGATAGGAGTGAGCCGGGGCAAATTTCACAGAATGAAAGTCAACCCTCGCCGAATAGGTTCTCCCCACAACGCCGGTCTACGTTGAATTGCAAGGGGTTGCCGAAATAAATGCGTATTAATTCTTTAAAGTGGTTAAAACAAAAACTGAAGTGAATTTTGTAATTTTAATTAAAATAAGTTATAAATTTTAATTAGCGGTTAATGTAATTAATAGTGAAATGTATCCAGTTTAATTGAGTGTGCATATTGTGTATTTTAAACTTGTTGTAACTTTGTACATTAATAATTAAATTAAATCTACAAAAAGTGTTCAGTTCATTTTAAGTAACAAGGTTCCAAAACCTTAATTAAGCAAACGTTAGTAATTCTTTTATTTAATTCTCATAATAAAAGTATCCAATTTGTTCTTAACTATAAGTTATTAAGTTAGGTTACTTCAGGAAATAAGTACCTACCTAATTTCAAATGCCTGAAAGCTTTTTAGGCTTGACACAATTTTATCAATTTTCTATTATTTGAATACTGATTACCTACACATTATAATCTATTTTTTATATTTGCACAGAGCAGTGTAAGTTGAGTTTATCTTTCTAAAAAGTTTCTTCAATGGTGTCTAGGTACATGCAAGGGAAAATGAATATTAGTTTAAAAGTACCTACCTAATAATTAAGTAAACTTTAAGTTCGCCGTTATCAAGGAACTTTTGAAAGACTACAACAAATAGGTACTCATTAATATACTATGCTACAACTAACAAGTTATTTAATAATTTTATTCACATTTTTAGTCGTAATGAACAATATTGCACAGTGGTTCCCATGCCAAGAAGCGCAGAAAACATAATAATTAATGGCGCGATGATTTCCCCGCGGTCGCGGCGAGCACTGCAACTACATAGTGGTTGTGAAACACCATTGTTTTTCATGTTTCAAATATTTTCAATTTGGAGCTTTTAATTTCTGGTAAAATGAGAATGCTAGGCTATAAGTTTCCTTTATTCACCATAATCTCTCATTTACATTACAGATATTTGTTTAATAACAAAACTCACGAGGTTTTAAATCTGCATGTCTCTGAAAATGGATACTATTAAGAAAATCAAATAGTTTGAAAAATAACCTAACTACTAAAAATTTTGTAACTTCAGGAATCACTGACCTGAAATCTGTAGCATCACAGGTAGCATCAAGATTTAAAAACACCAATAAATAAAATCAACTGCTAAGCTATATTATTTCTAAAGATTAGGTCCCCGTCCCCAGTCCGAGGGGACCGTTAACTCTCATACGAAACAGTGAAATAATGGAATCCTAAAATTCCCCCGTCTGGGAACACTATTTATAAGGTTTTAAGTTAAAACAAACTGTCAAACAAGTGCCCGCGGGAGCGAAGTTTCGAATCGGCCCCAACTTTGCGACATGTCCTTTATATCTGATTTTAGAGACCATTGTGGAGGGAGCCGATTCTTTCCACTACAGTGGGTAAATAAAAATGTATATCGTAGATGTAAATAAAGAATCGTGGAGGTGATGGTTGCAGCAACCATGTTGATAGGTATACATATTTTTATTTTATTTTATTTTTTTGGCCCTAATTTTGCGAGGATTCCGTCAACTGGGACCGCAATTAACTGGGACCGCGGTCCCAGTCGCCGGATGCGTAAAAATTAAATAATTTTCTTCCGGCGACTGGGACCACTCATGGATTATAGTACTGTACCAATTTTGGATTGAATAATATTTTCTTTTAAGTTATCTATGAGTGGTCCCAGTCGCCGGACGAAAATTATTATTTTTTTATGGATCCGGCGACTGGGACCGCGGTCCTAGTTAATTGCGGTCCCAGTCGCCGGAAGCCTCAATTTTGCGACATGTTCTTTGTATCTGATTTTAGAAACCATTGTCGAAGGAACCGTTACTTTCCAATTCAAACAAAATACAAATGTTGAGGTATTATCGCAGAAACCTTTTAAATATTAGGCTTATGTTGTGTATGTGTACGAAGAAACAGTAAACACCTTGTATATCAATACGTGTTTTATTTGACTTTGTTACAATTTACAATTATTATTTAATGTACGACCAATATGGAGTGCAGTCCAGAGTAAATCCGTGGGCGGAACCGGAAACCGCTAAGTTGTCAAGTCCGAGATGCAATAGCGATAGGGCTATAGTCCTAGATGTATTTGAGATAGGGCGGTATCCAGTGGCCAACAGCTTAAAACAAAAAAATAGGTATAATTATGAAGTTCGCCCGTTCGTTTCAGCCATATTATAACGTCTTCTGCTGGAAAAAGGCCTCCCACAGTGATTTCCACAACGACTGATCCTGCGCTGCCCGTATCTCGGTTGGTACTTCCCAGATACATCTATGAAGTTACAAAATGTATACTTAGACTTTATGAAACTTTGCTTCAAGCAAATTAGATGCTTAGATGGTACTTTAGTCTAGGGGAGCAATCTCTCAGTCGCACTTCATACAAACAAAAATAAAGCCTAAGAAGTAAATCCATTTTGTTCATTGGTTTAGAATAAGATCGTCGCCATATTCTGTCGCTAAACTGTAGATCTGCTTATCTACGCGGCTCATTTCGACTCGGAAAATAAAATCGGATTATATTCATCGGAAATCGGTAAAACGCTCGAGCGGTTCCCCGCGCCCTTGGGACTGCAAAACATCGAGACATCCGATGTCCGATTACGGATTACGTAAATCGTCCATACAGATTTACATAATAAGGATGCAGACTCTTAAAAACGGTTGGTATTATTTTCCCTCCCGTTTATATTTGGTTCGGTGAAAATGCGTGGAAAATGGACAAGGCTTTTCTCGTACCTGATTGTTGTTTGTCAATTTTGTTATTGCATAGAAGACTTACGCCCGTAATACTACGAGTTATACCTCATAGTAATGACAAACATTACTATGAGGTCTCACAGTGCGCGTGGACGCACAGGATGACACACGAACCAATTACAGAGCTCTATTCAACGCTGTGCGTTCGTTCGATATGCTGCTTCACATGCAGGCATCGTTTGTGAATACGGGTGTTATTATGTTTTGGAAGACATTTATGCTTCCGTTAGTAATCTATGATTATTATAAATGCAAAGTAAGAATTTTGCTATCAGTCAGTCGCCTTTTCTCGCCTAAGCCCCTGAACCAATTTATATTGTACCTAGAGAAAAACATCATTATCCAATTTCTTGTCGCGATCATAGACCCGATAAAACAAAGGGGATAAAAGGGATGTAAGTTTTTATAAACAAATGTGATACTGCGGGTAAAGTAAGCAATAAAAACAATAATTGGAAACACATACAGCATTTAGGCACCATCTTATTATAACTTTGACAAACGTCAAAAATCTGTCAAACTCCATACAAGAAGCACCTTTTAGTAGGGTTCCGTAGTCCTGACAAGGAACCCTTATTGTTAATGTTACGGTTAATTTATGATGGTGCAACTCAGCCTAAGTATAGTCCCAAAACAAGTTCACAAATCGGTCGACGACTATCATAAGTATAAGGTTTCTTTATTACCTCACGCAAATATTAAGACGTTCGACTACCGATTACGCAAATCGGCCATACAATCTCCATAATGAGGATGCAGCCTCTGAAAAGAGCGGTCGGTATTAGAATACGGAATTTGCATATAGATCGTATGCGTGCCCATCAATCAACCGCTGACTGCATTATTCCAGGTTATTGTTAGTTTTATTGATTCAGTTTCGTTGATTGATTGTTTCGGTATAAACCAAAATCTAGGTGAGTAAAAGGTCCCATCAACTGCTAAGTCAAAGTTCGAGGTAGCAATGTCAGCAGGTAGTAAACTATAAAAAGCGCGCGCGCACTTGTCACCGTGACAGTAGGTATATCTTTCACTTTTACATAAAGTACCTATCTAGAATATTCAAAATTATATAAAAGCCACGTAGAAACGAAAATAGCCTTGAACACATAATAAGATTAGGTACGTTTAAATATAACGAAATAATCATGACTTGGATATTTCCAGAAAAGAGATAAATTTTTCACGAGTATCAATCTGTTTTTACCTCAAATCGATGAGCTTTACATGACATAGGGGTCATCCATAAAGTACGTCACACGTAAAGAGGGGGGGAGGGGGTCGACAAAGTGTGACATGGTGTGACAAGGGGTGGGAGGGGTCCTAAGTTTCGTGACATCACATTTCAATTGTTTCAAATATTTGATATAATGTTGATTTCATAAAAAAAGTACTTAATTTAAATGGAAATAATAAAACTAATTTCGGAACTGCTGTTAATTTAATAATTTTTCGATGTGAAATTGCAAAATATGTGACGTCACACTAGGGAGGGGGGGGTCTCAGAAATGNGGCTCAAAAATTATGAAATTCGTGTGACGTACTTTATGGATGGCCCCATATATCATGAGTACCTACCTATAAATACTTATGTATTAGGTAATCATATTTAATTATAGGCAAATAAAAAAAGAAAAGAAAATAATTTTAATCTCAGGGACGCATCATAGTACCTAGATAGCGGCGTTTTTGCTGAAATTATAATTTAATAAATAACACTCGCACAAAGTCCCACTCTTGATACAGCAGACTACCTACTTAGTAGGTATTTCACACTTCAGTGCTAAATTCTAAACTAAGTAAGTTCTTAAAAGTAGGAAAATCCATTCCATAAGAAAAGAAAATCCTTTAAGCAGAATGTCGGCTCTCGTACCTACCTACATTTTAGATACGCTACTTAGTTGTAGTTCGAGATAACGATTTAACGAAAGAGTACTTCAAGATGTCGTTTATCTATTCGTTAACACTATCTAACGAAATTTATCAAGATATACTCTGACTATTATCGCTGATCCATCGACATAAAACCCAAACATCAAAGTTAAATCCCCCGATAAACGGAAAACGGCAGCCATGTTAGAAAATGGATGCCTACGGTAAAATGGCGGCGGGAACTAATTGATGCAGCCTCGGCTCACGAACGCACCCAAATGATTTCAATTACCTAATTAGATCGGGGCTGCGCCCTGGGAGCTGAGCCGGCTGGAAGGCGTCGGTGCTCAGTTTTGCAAATTCAAACGGAATCTCAGCTATATTTCTGCTAAAATATCCATGATTGCGTTAGTAAGAGAGTTGTTTACAATTTTCTTAATGAATATGGTGGCGCTGTTTCTTTTATTTTGAAATAACGTTTCATTTCTACCGTAGTTAGCTCAGACCTCGCCGCCTACAGTTTTTGCTAGACCTAATTCAACCTGTTCAATTCTCTATGGAATTTTGTAAATCAGCCCAACACACAGTAAATAATTTATCTAAATCGAAGAAGGTATTTTTACCTATCTACCTAGTTCTATTTCAAACTAAAAGAGGTAAAGAAGACGCTTCATGTTATTTAAATTGTGCCCTTACGAACGAAAGCGACCCCTTGCATCTCATCTTAATATAGGTATCGTTTTTCAATAAAAATATGAAAGCGAGATGAGAGTATCGGAGCATCTTTTAAGTTAAAAAGTTGGAGAGCCCCACCTTTTTAAGTTTAAGATCAAAAGCAAGGCTTCAGTGAACGAGGGTCGAGTGATGCTTGATATCAGATATCTGTGTTTTCGGCTGTGCTCCTGCAATCTATTAAGGGTACAAAATTAGCTGTCAAGGTGCAGGACGAATAAACAAAGACGAATTTTCAACAGTATAAAGACACACACATTGGTATTACAATAATTCTTGGTATGGTACCTACCTTACCTAGCTCTTCTAATAATGACGTAGTCTTATTCAACTTTAACTACAAAACAGACAGTGATTTTACAAAATCTATTTTTTGCATGGGGGTTCCTTTTAGAACGTGCTGACTGATACGTGATTTTGCAAAATTCAATAACGGGATCCACGCGTACGAAGTCGCGGGCGGCCGCTAGTATTAAGTAGTTAGGTAATATGGTCCGCCTGGAAATCGAACTCGATTAAAATATCATTGAATCAAAAGTAGATATCACTTCATCAACATAGTTAGTTGAGGCTTTTATTACCAGACAAGTATTTAAATTGCCCTTTTTAGTTTAAAAAGACGTTAAAAACTTGGAAAGGTAAGCAGTAAGCACCTAAGTTCTTTCCTGTGTTACTTAAGTAGTTCTTGTTTTCTTGCGCAATGAAACTAAAAGAGCCTCAAGGGTTAAACTGAACTCCGTGGAAACGTCAAGTTATTAAACAAAAGTAAGGAGCTAACGTATCGTTCGCTCACTAAACATACACGAAATCTCGGAAACTACTTTAATCTTACTGTGATACTGAAAGAAATTACAAATGATAGATTTTATGCCACATAGCAATTTCTGCCAGTCAACTTTGAGGTGAGTGAGACAGACAATAATTCAATGGTGGGTCCTAGTGATGGTGTTTAATTTGTTTAGCAGCAAATAAATGCTTTGAACTTATTAAAATAGAAGATTGTATTTACCCAGTATACCCAGTCAAAGACTGATGAGAATTCAGAAATTAATAGCATGCCTTGAATAATAATCTAATTTTTAACCAAACTCACTATCGACAACATTCGTAGACAGTCCCTAACACGGCTGACTGAAGTGTTAATTTGTAGTTTGTTCGTACAAACAACACAGAGAACAGGGAAGCTATGGAGCGTTGTATGCCAGGGAGTCTACTATGCAAAACAAGTCACGTATTTTCGACTCGATTGTATCACTCTTGCTCACAACCGTAACAAGGGTGAGCTAGAAAGACGGTCAAAGTCTACGAATAGCGTAGAAAATACGAAAATGGTTTTTCAGAATAAACCCCAGCTTTTGTTTTGGCATCGGCCGTGCTACAAATTGGGAAATCGGTACAGCTGCCGCGCGCTGTAGTTACAACAAGATACCGGTGACTCGAGCTTTCATTGATTTACTTTTTGTTTTCGTTGCACACGATGGAGCGGTGGAAATAATATTAAAGTGTGTGTGGAGAGATACTTAAAAAAAAAATCTTTCATGAATTCAGCAGCTGGTAGAGGATTAGCTTTAGGCTGCTTCATATGAGTTCTCAGACCCTAAGTAGGAAAGATATCTTTAAATAATTCTCCGTCTGGCGTAGGCAAGTAAATACTGAAACACTTATTTCAATGGCCGGGCGCCACGTAATGCCATAGGACTTTAATCAATAATAATGCTGGAAAAACTAAAAATGGCTTTGTAAGATAAGAGAGATAAAAGTACATATGACTTAACCTCGTATATTGTCTTCTTTTATGTACCTACATAACTATCTTTGTTGTAGATGCTCATAATTTATTACTTTCGCGATGAAATTATGTATTAAAAAACATAATTTTGTATAAATTATTTTATTTACTACTTGTAACAATAATCTAATTTAAGAAAACTTATTTATATTTGACTAGTACAACATAATATTGCAAAATTCTTACACTCTATGTAGCTATATTGTACATTCGTTGTTTGTGCAATAGAAATGCATCATTAATTTCTACATTAAAATTAATTGAACAATAGACAAATTCACAAAAAATGAGATAAATTAAAATATTAATGACCTAGGAACTTTTATAATGGAATGGAATGTTGAAATAGATTAACCGATTGAGTCCCAGACGGCATTAATTAATGTCATAACAATTGATTATTATTGTGTCTAGATTCGCGGAGCTTGAAGGATTAATATTAAATTAATAAGGTTGCCACTTGCTATGTAAGGCAATAACTATTTAACCAGCATGTTTTTATCTGGAGCAAACACTTTTATTTTAAAATTGATTGATTAATTGATTAAAATTGATTTCGATTTTTCCTACTATTTAAATAGTCTATCTATACAAATAAAGAAATTTTTGATTTTGAAAATTTCACTTCATCTTGCCTTCTTCAAGATAATATAAATCAAATTACATATAAGTTTCTTGCCTGTACAGTACATGTAAATTTTAAACTTACTTAAACAATAATCATCCTAATATTAAAGTTATCTAAACATTTATTAATTGAACATTCAAAACCACAATTGTGTTCAAAAATAACTTAAGATCAGTCCTAAAAACAGATATAAAGAAGAGATTGAAGTATTCTTCATTTAGTGCACACCAAAACATTAAGTAGTCAACAAATGCTTCAACCCATGTCACCGGCAGCTTTCTCTGGCTCTGGACAGTGCGTTTCAGTCAGCAATCTTTGCAGTTCTGAATATATGATCTCCAGCATTGCTAATCTTGGTTTTGTATACTGAAACAGAAAATTGAAGGACATAATAATATACATTGTACAGTATACACATAGGATGACCTTTTTATACAGCAAAAATGTAGCGTATTGAATAACAGTGATAACAAAATGTCAATAACATTCTTTATTGTGGAATTGATGCAAATACAATGGTAACTGCATCACACAAAAGTGGCATTGTTAAGGCAAAGGAATCCTTGGCAATGATTTCTTTACACAAAATCACAGTATGTACCTTGAATAGTGGCATTAGCTTCAACGATTCCGATTCTTGATTGCTCGTTTTTACCAACACGGTTAAGAAATAGAGGACTCGGTTCTGAAAAATAAGAAATTAATGATTAAACAAAAATAACTACACATTGGATGCACTTTTAAACAGTACATTTATTTTATTAGATACTAGCGGCCGCCCGCGACTTCGTACGCGTGGATCTCGTTTTACCCCCCCTTCATCTATCTTACGCGGTTCAGATTTTTTCATAAAAATTTTTTTCCCGCTAACTCCCGTTCCCGTGGGAATTTTGCAATATCCTGTTGTAACTAAGCTTTAAGTTTACTAAGGTACCTGCATGCCAAATTTCAAGAGTCTATCTTACGCGGTTTAGATTTTTTCATACAAATGTTTTTTCCCGCTAACTCCCGTTCACGTGGGAATTTTGCAATATACTATTGTAACTAAGCTTTAAGTTTACCAAGATACCTGCATGCCAAATTTCAAGAGTCTATCTTACGCGGTTTAGATTTTTACATTCAAATGTTTTTTCCCGCTAACTCCCGTTCCCGTGGGAATTTTGCAATATCCTGTTGTAACTAAGCTTTAAGTTTACTAAGGTACCTGCATGCCAAATTTCAAGCGTCTAACTTAAGCGGTTTAGATTTTTCATACAAAAGGATTTTCCCGCTAATTCCCGTTCCCGTGGGAATTCCTAAGTATCCTATAACCTGCCCAGGAGTATGAAGAATAATTGTACCAAGTTTCGTTAAAATCCGTCGAGTAGTTTTTGTTTCTATAAGGAACATACAGACAGACAGACAGACAGACAGACAGACAGACAGACAGACAAAAATTTTACTGATTGCATTTTTGGCATCAGTATCGATCACTAATCACCCCCTGATAGTTATTTTGAAAATATATTTCATGTACAGAATTGACCTCTCTACAGATTTATTATAAGTATAGATAAGGGTATGTACAATTTACCTATAATTTGTATTAGTATTTGAAATGTTTGTGAGTATTAATAATACTTTAATCTATATATATAAAAATGAAACCCGTTTTCCGTTGTCACGACATAACATGAAAACGGCTTGACCGATTTGGCTGATTTTTTTTTTGTAGTTTTCTAATACTCTGTACAAGGTTTTTACGGAAAAAAATATAAAGAAAATCTCTACGCTAAGGCGGTACGAAGTTCGCCGGGTCAGCTAGTTACTAATAAAAATTTATGTAATAGTTTGTTGTTCTGAATAAAAAATTTCTGAACTGAAAAAAAAACTTTAAATAAATGTAATCTTTGAACTAACCATTTTAATAACTTCATTTATTATGACATCGTCGACACTCGACCACGGCACAAAATGGTCTTCTCTCCCATACACATACTTGACGGAACTCTGTATGCCCACAGTTGGTATGACTAGCAGGATCTCTGTAATATAGAAAATGAGCTATTAAACTTTAAGAAATACACAATATTATGAGTTTCACTATTAATTTAACTTTGTCAAAAGTAATAACTCTATCTTATTATGAACAGAATAGGAATCTTGATACCAATACAGTCAATTATTAATTTCAAACTTAATTAATAGGCTTAAAGACTTGAGTATATAGGATTGAAGTGAAATGGTATTAAAAATTACCTGACTGAACACTGTGGGTTATCCAAAAGAAAACTAAAAACGACAGCACGACTATTATCACTACAATCGCAGTTAAACTTATCCGTATATAGAATATCGCAATCATATTAAATAAAATAGCCAAAAATAACGAAGCTTTAGGCCAAGACGACTTGTTAGGTTTGCTTTTGTATGAAATTGTAAATAGCCTGGAATTAGTTGCACCATTAGGAGTATCAACTTTTAATGACAGTGTAACACCATTTATATTTTCGTAATCCATCTTCTGATTAGAATTCATCATAACAGAAGCGAGATTTTAAGGTTTATGCTCAGGTTTTTTGTAATTGAAAATTGTTTACATTTTTTTTGTCAATTTGACAATTTTGACGTTTCCTCTTTCTTTTTTTCATTTCACACATTCTGAGTAGACAATGAAATCGAACATGTACAGCCAAGTTTTCTGTAATTTATTTTTCTAACTGCTTAAAATAGCTTTCCGCCCGCGGCTTCGCCCGCGTGAAAAGGGCTGTTTTAGGGTTTTCCCGGAAATTATTGGAATTTTTCTCGAATTAAAGATTAAATCCGACTCGTTTAAAAAAAACTACTCATACATTTTTATGCGGGAATTTCGATCAATGGGCATTTCGTTAGGCTTAATTTCGATAGAAAAAGAAAAAGACTTATTTTTCGCACTGGACATAATTTTCCACTTTGTTAGATCTAGACAAGTGGCATTTTTTGATAAATGCATTGAAGCAGAATTTATTAATGACATGATGGCCATTTAACTTATTTCTATCGCTTACCATGTCGTGCAAGGCATTTGCAAGGCTGTCCAATGGACAGTGAACAGTGTTCACCACCTAAATCATAATAAAATACATAAGTAAGTAAGTAGACGACGTAGGGAGCTAAACTTCAAACAATGATTACAAAATCGTTATTGTAGGTACACATTAATCAGAGTAATAAATTAACTCCATGAATGAACAGAGCGTATTGAGTAGCGTCCTGCGTTCCCACATCATTGCCCAATACAATTAACAATAGGAAACAATAGTTATACTGTTCCTTGTATGTGTCGGCGGCTGAGCCCGCCAGTTTTATTTTAGTCGCAAATACACCTTTAAAGAAATCACATGTTTTACTGTTCCAACCTTCTGACGTACGTTTTGTGGACTTAACAGTAATATACCTGAACATAACGTATATCAATATAATTACGTACATCGGGTATATAAAATTAACGTACATTGGTGACCCCGACGTGATCATTACGTATACAGTGTATGAATACGCCCGACGTGATCATTAGGTATACAGTGTATAAATACGTACATTGGTGACGCCAGTTGAACATTTTTTTTTTTTTTTACGGTAGTAAGAATACTAGTACTAATAACGCAGACACTTCTAGCAAAGTTCTAATTCCAAAAACAACGCGAAGTGGCCGCGTTATCAATAAACCGGTGCGTTTTGACTTGTAAGTTTTTTTCTTTCTAAGTAGGTAGAGCGGCTCATCGTTACTTACTTAGGATAAGTTTTTATAAATACAATGTTCTAATGTTTTTACGAAACATGTAAACTATTATGCGTATTATTAATTAGCTATTAGTTTATTAATTTAATATTGTATTTTTATGTACTTACTTTATACATGGTTTCATGATTTTTTACTTTACTCTTTATTCAAATTGATTTATTGTATTTTGTTTGGCAAAACATTTTTGTTATTTTGTTTCTGAGATGTTTATTGATGTTTAGTAATTTGTAATTGACATTTTTATATTGTATAATGATAGGCACATACAACCTTTTCTTATGTTTTTACTTTTTACTTAAACTTGCGCATTGCTTGTATTTTCGCAATGGACCAAGTGTACAATTTGATTGAGCGTATTGTCTCTAGATATTTTTAATTGACATAGAATTTTGTTTTATAATGTTGTTTCAAATATTCATTATTTTGTTATTTACTCAATCAAGTGTTATTGTGTTTTATTTTTTGTATAAGGAGGGGGATGATGTAGGTACACATTAATCAGAGTAATAAATTAACTCCATGAATGAACAGAGCGTATTGAGTAGCGTCCTGCGTTCCCACATCATTGCCCAATACAATTAACAATAGGAAACAATAGTTATACTGTTCCTTGTATGTGTCGGCGGCTGAGCCCGCCAGTTTTATTTTAGTCGCAAATACACCTTTAAAGAAATCACATGTTTTACTGTTCCAACCTTCTGACGTACGTTTTGTGGACTTAACAGTAATATACCTGAACATAACGTATATCAATATAATTACGTACATCGGGTATATAAAATTAACGTACAGTTATCATACCCTATCAAGATTTATTTCCTTGATGGCACCTAACTATTACCCTACCTAAGTATTCGCTTTCTGAAGCTATGATGGGAAATAACGCGGCGTTTCCAACAAGTTACCATGGTAACAAAATGGTACAAATAGACGTCACTTTGGTGTTTACATACTGAGTGCTGCTAAGTGATAAATCAGTCAATAAATCGGATACAAAAGGCGCAGTTGTTTGTAGCATTGCACCAGCTACGATGGAGAATCACGACGGCAATGCATGGGTTTTCGATTCGCTGGTGGGGTTCCTACATGGACCCGTTTGGAACGTTCCTCTGCAGACGTTTATTGAAGAGAAATCTTTGCGTATGTAATGTTAAAGAAAATATTAAGACAATCAATAACTTACATTTTTAAACTTTTTTGTTACTTGCAGCGTTTGAGCCAACTGATAATGGCGATGTACCGGACAGGCCGGAATACAAAAAGGTTCACGATGAATACCGCAATTTAGTAAGTTCTAACTAATATCTCTCTTTCCTATCAGAGCACAGAGCATTGTATCACAGAGTATGCAAAGTGCAAACTGCTTTGCGCCTGCTATAAATATTACGGCAATGTCTCAAATCTATGTATTCCTTTCAGGTGGACGTAATGCTAGGCTCTTTCATGGACGACATTGGCATCACCGCCGACCAATTCGAGGCAGCTTGCCGTCTGTCAGCTCGCGACCTCGCTGGCCTGCCCGCTCACTTCCACCGAAGGCTCTTCGAGCAAATCTGGGCCGCCAATGATTACGAAATGTTCGTCAAGATGATGACTCATAAGAACGTCGAGTTGCAGTTACAGGTAAATAATTAATTACTTTGATAAGTGGTACTTATTTAACTTTTCCTTCCTCGATTGCTCCCATACTTTGATATTATTATAATTTACGTGTTTATTTTATGATCAGCTACGTTCCAATTAGATTGTGTATTCCTATTTTACAGGCGCTTGAATTAATTGAGCGACGTTTTGGAGCAATGCCTAATTTGTTTTCATCTGAAGCAGAAGAGTTCGATTCCCCGCGCAGCGAAGAAAGCGGCGACTGGCCGGACAACGACGATGTTATGACTGAGATCAAAAAGTATGAAAATCCTTGAAATTAAGACGTTATTTTGAACTAATCCCACCATAGTCAAATAGACCTACGCGCACAATAATCTTAAGATTTAATAAGATGCAGTCGTCACTTTACTTCAGTCCACAATATTCTTCGCTTTCCAGACTGCAACTGGACGATTTAGAAACAAAAGACGAGATTGTGAGTGTTCCTCCCGTGGAAGTGGTGGCTGAAAAGAAGACTCTTCTGTCCAAGCTTCATAGCTTTGAGAAGAACGATGAGAAGACTTTCATTAAAGAGGAATCTCCACCAGTCAAGAAGCCTGTTGCTATTGTTGAGCCGCCGAAACCACCACCTAAGAAAGTTGAGGTTGGAAAAAATAAATTAGTAATACTTCCCTAATCGTTTTAAATGTGCTCAGACTGACATATTATATTTCTTTAGGTCAGTGAGGAAGAAATTCGTGCTCGACAGGAATATTTGAAACAGCAAAGAGATAAGCTGTTGGCGCTGAAGAAGCAGGTTCGGGAGAAGAGATTGGGCGAGGCAGAGACTGCTACAGAATCTGGAGGTATTATTTTAATGTTAATAAAATCTTTTATTTATGTAAGGAGTATGTAAGTAGCTGTAATAGATAACCACTTACCTAGGACCAACCTACAGTGATTGCCATTTTACGAGGACTCTTATTCCCAAAGGTTCGTGTCTATTGTTTTCAAAAAAAATTTAGTTCATTCCCAATCCCAACGGGTCCATTAATTAGAATAGAGTCGTAGACCTTTCATTGTGGAAAACCTTGGGCGAGGCCTTTGTCCAGCAGCAGTGGACGTCATTTGGCTGCTGAAACGACCGAACGAAAAACGTAGACCTTTGGGAATAAGCCAATTTTACATAGCTGCAATAACAGTCGCAACACCTTTGCTGTTCATTCAATTAAGGTAAGAATATTTTTGTATGCCATGTCTAATTTCCAGGCGGCGAAGGTTCATTCACCAGTGTGTCTCGGCCAAAGTCCGCGCGAGTTGCGCACGCGGCGTTGGCGGGCACCCCTCCCCCTCCCGCCCCGGACGCGATGCAACTGCGGAGGGCGCTCGCCTCCAAACTTAAGACTGAGGTTGTTGACTCCAACCACTAAATGACTCATTACAATGTGTAAGGCATGATCTCACTTTTAACTTATTTAATTATATGGTGTTGCACGATGTGTCGCTATTTTAATGAATTTTAAATGTCAGAAAACTTAATATAGATGACCCACGCTGAACTGTCCCGCCAAACTCAATGACAGGGGGGCGCTACCATCGTTCAACTATATGGTTTCCAACATGGCAAAAATCTGAACCAGCGATCCGGTATTGACGGTGGCGCCCCACTGTCAATGTCATCGACAGGACAGTCCAGTATTTTGGAACTATATCATAGTTTACGTACACGATATTTAACTTTGCAAGTTAAGGGGTAAAAATAAAAGAGAGATTACTTTTGTATCTTATATTATATTGCTTACTTAACTAGTGACATCATAATAATAGCATTAAGCTTATTTATTTTACACAACTTGCCAATAGGTAAATCTATTTAATTTTAATCTGTGTATAAATTAGTTTATGATGGTCACCCACCTAGACAGATAAAAAATAGTCATTATTACAGTCTACTTTCACCTAGAACTTCGTTTAATTATGGGGAAGTTATTTCAAGGAATATAATAAGAATCGTATAAATCTAATTGACAGCTCGATGCTATTAAACACGTGGATGTTGGCAGATTTCAAAATAAAATTATTACATAAAACGTTTTATATTTACAATATATTCTGTCAAATTCATCCCACGCATGTAATAATTCGCCTCGCATTTACTGTGCATTTTGTGAATGCTTATAAATGAACAAAAATTGTTTTAAAGCGTTTTTATGAAGTGTGACCATCATTAAAAAAATACAAAATGTATGTTACTCAAATTGTAAGGATGTACATAATAGTTTTAGACAGAGATCAATGTTTATTCAGATACATATTAAAATTGATATGTATTTTCAGGTGTGATAAAGCCAGGTAGAAAATAGATGTTGATAACGGTTAGGCGAAATTAAAGGAACATAAAGTATGCGATTGGCGATGTGTTTTGCGACAGCAGCATTGGTAGTCTGATTCTATTTCCTATCATTATTATACCTGAAAAATATATACGTAATTTCATGCATAGTAATAATTTATATAGAATCTTTATTTGATATAAAACGATATTTTAAAAGCTTATGTACGACAGTAGTGTCTTTGAGACACGTGATGTTTTTGGTGATAGTTGAAGAGCTATTTTTTCAATCGCCACTGAACTTTTATCTGAAGAATAGTACAGATATTTTGACATTACATAATATAAAGTTATTATTTCAGACAAAAGTTACATGGCATTGAAAATCAGTAATAAATCGTGTGTTGAAGCGTGTAAAAAATATTTGTTGTGTTGAACCAAGCCCGGTTGGCGAATTTTAACATCATTCGTGTATTCATGTTAGGAAGAACGTAATAAGAAGGGCCATGCATAGACCACGTCAGAGCATTCCCAAGCACACATATTACGTCGTTAATGGAATCACCCTATATCAATGACGTAGAATATGTATGTCCCGTTCGCGTTGGTTTAAATGCAAAACACATTTAGTTATATCAAGATAGTAGAAATTAAGGTTTGGACCACTTTAAAAAGACTAATAGCATGTCGTGGCCACATGATACCCATAATCATTAGTTAAGACTGTTAAATATCAATATCGGTTACTACGCCCACGCTATGGATTTCATATGGCCTCCTGTGACTTATTTCTGGCGACAAGTGATTGTGAAAGCATTTCCTTGTTGATATTCCGTGTGTACTTTACATTGATCACCAGATAAGTAGTATTTTTTTTTACAAAATCTAATATTATTTACAAATAATGACAGTAAACTAGAAGTTAACACAGTAATAAAATAAAGTGGATCTTAATCAGATACATTTTATCACATACACATTACACCTGCAAAGCTATAATCATAAGCAGTCAAAACGATTTTGTTGAAAGTATAGAAAATTAATACTGATATCCTCTAGTAGAATCACATAGCAAAAATTCCTTCATATCGATTATAGACAACTTGTAAATAAAATAAACTAACCAAAATCCTATAAGCCTGCTTTCATTTTCCTTGCTTTATGCATGTAATATGAACAAACCTGGATAATATTCTTACATCTCGAGCTTTGACAATTTATTTATTCAATGAAACTTACAATTTTATATCGATTCAAATATTACTTTATTGTTTGTTATATCTAAATTCAATGTATTTATACCAAATCTTGTCAATCGGCCAATCACTTCTCAACTTCCCATAATTAAATCTTATAACACAAGATGCTGCATGTCTATCATTAGTCACTATTAAACACAACCACTATTTCATATTTTCACATAAATTAATCTACCTTCACAAAATCAATCTCGCGTGAATGAAGCAAAATCTAACAAGACATCAATATTACCTACTGTGATTTTGATTATACATACAAATCTGGATCCCAAAAAGTTAAAAGAAATCAAGATATCTTTATAAAACGTAAACGCCAACAAACAGAATGCAAAACACAGTTTAAACAACATATTTTCAAACAGTTGATGAAAACAAGAACCCATCAAAAACAATACTTGTCAAAAAAACCAAGTCTCGCAACTCAGTTGTTCTACGGTAAAAAGTTGTGAGATCCATGTAATACCAAGTCCAGGCCAGGAAATCTTTAACGTTTTACATAAATATATTGACTTGGCCATCGCACTAAATAATTTAATTTACACGTGTTTTCATGCGATGGCCAAGTCAATATATTTATGTAAAACGTTAAAGATTTCCTGGCCTGGACTTGGTATTACATGGATCTCACAACTTTTTACCGTAGAACAACTGAGTTGCGAGACTTGGTTTTTTTGACAAGTATTGTTTTTGATGGGATCTCATTTCTTTTTGTATTTTGTAGACAGCAGTTATGTATCTAGAAAACTGGACCGAAATTGAAAAATTTTACTCGACTTGGCGGTTGCACTACCGTGCCCCCAAATATTTTAGTTTTTCCTTGATTCATACACCAAACACTACTTATATTCCAAATTTGAAGCTTCTAGGTCTGCTAGAAGTGCCTTAGAGTTTTGATGATCGGTGAGTCAGTGAGTGAGTCAGTGAGTCAGTGAGTCAGTCAGTGAGTGACAAAATTAAGTAACTTTGACCCGTTATAATTCTTAAACTACTGGTTCAAATTGAATGAAATTTTAAATATACCGTGTCTTTACAATGCCTGCATAGCTAATGAAAATTCAGCCTTCTAGTTTTATCCACAACGAAGTTACAGGCGGTCGAAAATGGCCTGAATTGCTTCGAGAAAAGGATGGTACGGCCGTGCCGCTTTTTTGCTCGACTTGGTGGGGGCACTGCCGTGCCCCCAGATTACCGCCAAAGCAGCTATAAAAAATCGGCAACAAATTTTTAATTGACAGCTAAAGGAAACAAATATTTAAGAAAAAAATTAGTATAATTTTAATTTAAATACTATCGTGCTCAAAAATACACCTTATTACTAACGCATACATTTTATTACTCGTTAAGATCCAGATAAATATGTCTATTTAATAAATTACCTAACTGACACTGGCATTTATTTAGTTGTGTATCAATCATTGTGCCTTAACAAATTGATAATTTGTCTTTTTTTCTCCATAGTAGATAAAAAAACAGCGCAGAAACGACGATGACTATGCCTTTTCATTGACTAAAGAGAAAAAAAAAGTCTTTGTTTGGTTAGACAGAATTTACCACAGGTATTACATTTCACTAATACGTTTATTTCTTTACTTTCAACAAGAGTTGTACTTCTAAGAGATAAGACTTCACGATGATATTATTTAGCTAAGTATTTTCAATACATATTGTAGCATAACTAACTCATCATTCGCGTGTTATCTCGAAAAAGCACAAAAATGAATGAAAAGGAATGCAAATAAATACATACATACATATCAATAGAAGCCCGAATATTTTTCTATATAATCTATCTATTCAAGTTTATGAAAACAGAAAGAAACTACTGGTGCTCCCTATTGGCTTGAAATCTTTTAAATATACTTTGTATTTTTTCGGCTTATTTGGCCAATAACGTTAGCCAACCAGTAACGAAATCGAGGATTACTCACCGGAGCGACGGGGTTTATTATCAAATGTATAAAAAGTATGAATGTATAAATACGCCACGATGAGTTGTGGTCGAACGGTTAGCCGATACGAAATGACAGAAGATTCGAATTCTTATGTATTTATCACCGGACAGTGTTGGGAAAGCCAGCGTCTGGTTGGCTACTCATAACGCCCCCTTCGCAAGTCGCAATTTACTTAATAGACTCGATATAACGCGGTTTAGTAATTTGCTAGTTTAATAAACGGTATGTCCTCATTGAGAGCAATTATTTCAATCGTTATCGACCGTTACGAACGGTATATTACGTTGAAGGTTTATTTTAATGTGATACTTTTGTGACAAGTGACTTGCACGCGAATAAATAAATTTACTAAGAATGACTCGATGTCAATTGTTCGATTCATAAACGCTCTCGTTGAGACTCAACTTTGCTTGCGTACGACAAATTTAGAACATGTACCAGGCGCGGTTTTCAGGCATTTCTTAACGCAACTGGAAGCTATAAATAGTGATCTTCCGAGCAAGTTTCATGTGAAGCGATTGCAATGCGCATCGTAATTCAATACAACATGCATTATCCAACATAATTTAGAATAGATATGCATGTGAACCAAGGTTTCAACGTCTTGGTTCATAATAAATCATATTGGTTTGATGTGCATTTCAATTGTATGCTACAGTTGACCAAAATTTATAGGCTTAGAAATAAGACTTCTAGATTAAAGGTGTTGATTTTATCGGAACAAAAAGATATAATTCTTTGATTGACACACCCTTTCGAATTTATTTCCGAAATAGACAACATTTATGCTACCAGATATTAATAAGTTATAGAAAACCTGTCACAAAGAAATGTTGCACTCTCGCAACTCTTGTGCTATACAACCTTATATCGTTTTTGTATCATTGTTTATACTGATCCACACACATGTTAAATAGCTTTATATAAAGTACATACGTCTCACATTATTACAGTAACACCCAAAAAAGTTTAAATCACTAATGAGTAGCAATTCCACAGCACAGTTCACGACGAAACATTTGATTGGTCTTGTGATTATAAAAAAAAAATAAGTTTCATACATAAATACGTACATTGTCAACATTACTTCCTCGCATTCACAATGTTGTTAACTATTATTATTAAAAGTATGATTCCCACTCTTATTTTCTTTGTACTTTTGTGATTACGATCCATCGGAAAAATAACCTAACCGTTAAATTATTTTTTTCTACACATTGTCACCAGCATTCTACATTCTGATGCCATTCAAAGTAATTACACTACTGTATGAAGTAATTCATACACTAACTAAGTTTAGAGCCCAACACCTATGTGGCAGTGCTCCAATATTATTTACATAAAATATGAACATAACCAACTGGGGACATTGGACAGTCCAGGGTTCATATTAAAACCCTCAATAACATATTGTATCAAACAAGATAAACGATTTTCAATACCTGCGCACTTTCACAAATATTTAAGATATGCATTGATAAATAATTAATAAATAATAATAACTGTAGCAGTTTTAGTACTTTGAGAAGACAAAGAAAATAATTTTCGAAGCCTCCAAAATCATTTCCAAATGTACAATTGTCACATTTTTAAATATTATTTTCTTAAATTATGTTATATCGACAAGAAACTGAATCGAACCCAAATAATTAGACCCCTACAATGTCATTTCATTGACTTAATTGTTTAAGAGAAAACTTTCGCGAACACTCAATCGATCGGCGGTCGGTCTCAGCGAGCCGCCGGCCAAGTGAGCGTTCCGAGGTTTATTATTCTAACAATTCATTTAAGGCGAAAGAGCTTGGCTACACGGTCCATCCTAGACATTTGTTCAACTTTAAGCTTTCACGTGCGGAACGAGGAGTGGCTCGATGACGTCACACGCGGCCGCTCGACTGTCGCCAACGCGCGTCATAGAGCTAGAGTGATAATAATATACGTAAATCTTACTGCATTCCGTCGTTTCACTGGGTAATGCACAGCGCTGCGAGACAAGGGGAGCTCGGTTATATTCCTTGAAACGGGCGGGGGGAGCGAGACGCCGACTACGCGAGTCGCGGTCGCTTTGCGTCTCTCTCTTCGCCTGTTGCTGCGCCGGCGCCGGCGTTTTCCCCACTACTGCTGCTGCCGCCGCCGCCGCCGCCCCCTTCCTCTTCTTCGTCGGAATCCCCGTCGTAATCCACGAGACCCTGTACGGGAGAATTGTTATAGTATACGTTTCGTATATTAAATGAGTACGTGAGTAATAAAAACACTGAAAGTAGCTAAATATACAGATATTTAGTTAACTGTATATCCAGATGTAGTCTTTATTTGTGTTGTGAAAAAGCGCCTGTTATAACTACATAACATAGTGTAAAACTTAAAATTATGTTGTGTACGTGTAAATGTTTAGAGCGCCAGTATTACGAAATGACGCTGAAAACTGGATTTAACTCTGATTGGAAAAAAATTAAACTATACTAAATAAATCAATCAGCTATTTTAAGAAATTAAGAAAACATTTTTAATTATAATTGATAATTATTACAAAAAAAAGTGATTGGGCAAATTAGGTTCGACAAATTACGGTTAGTTAGTTAGTTAGTTCAAACTCACCATTGGGAAAGTTATGTCTAAAAAGTGCAAAAAAATTTTTACGACCACTGAAATGTGTTTCACTATTTTACTATTTTTTGTAGCTGTTAGAAATAGTTATATTCTTATTAGTATATTAGCGTAGCTAGCACCAATGTCTTCGAAAATATTAAGCAAGCAATGTAAAAAAAAACAAATTATGACTAAAAAACCTATTAAAGTTTTTAAGTAACACACTGCACACAGCATTAGTCCACTATAAAAATTGTACATGATTTCTTTATTAACACATTTTTAATATTAACACATCTTTGGTATAAAAACATGCTATCATGCCAGCATGCAATGTTATGAAAAAGTCTCAATGATTAAGTACAAAACATAGTACAAAACATTATTCTACAACAAACACAGTATGAAGCAGATATAAATAACCAACACCAAAGGATTAGGAAGGAATTTTACTACCAGATGGATGCTTTCGCTTCTGAGAACCACCTTTTTCATCTATCCAAATTATTACATAAATCTGGTTGGTGGTGTCCACCACCAATCCCACTGGTAGCTAAATCGTTGCCAATATTTTTGAATTTTATGCAGATGTCAGAAGGTTGAAGAAATGGGACATTTTTGAAGAAATCCACCTTTTTATCATATTTTTGAAAATAAATTTTATTTGATAGATATCTTTCACCACATGAATACAAAGCTTAGTAAAATTGGCTTACTCAAAATCATGGAAACTTGAGTTTAATTGCAACGTCAAAACAAAACAATCTTGAAAGTAGATAAAAATACTCATTGTTACAAAGTAAATACGCTAAAAACGTGTAACTGCGAATTAGCATTTTACAATTTGTTTGAAATGTAAACATTAACTTAGTGCTATTCATAATAGGAAATTTCCTCCGTTCAAGTTCATTGAATATTAATTTCCATGACCCAGAGTTGCGTTATTACGTATAATACTCGATGATTCCCCAGCTAAGCGAAAGTCGTGGCGAGAGGGAACTTAAATTTTACCTTATTGAGTAATCTGGGCGAGGATACCTGAACGTCACTGTGCGTGGGCTTGGGGGCAGTGGTGGTGCTGAGGAGCACCCTGCTAGGGCCGTTCACTGTCTCGGTGCTCGAGCACACTTTCTTTTCAACTATTTTCCCTGAAAACATACAATTTAGACATTAATAAACACCGTTTAATTAGAAAAAAGAAGATAGAAAATAATAGTTGAAAAGTGACGTCTAAAACTCCTGTATAACTACAATCTACAGCCAATAAAATCCAGTGAAAATCGACTAGTTGCAGTTCCTGTGTAGACAGGATCTACTACCAACAAAAACTCAACCAGTGAAGGCAAAAGTTGTCTCAGGGAAAAGTTTAACTGACATGGGACCCTTAACAAATTCAATCAGAAGAAAACGAGAGGAGTTCGAAGGATCGACATACAATTGGAATTACACATTAATTGAGACGAATCTAACGACGTCTCTACTAAAATCTCTCTATCTGCCCAAAGAAACGCGAAAAATATCCTTCTGGCGCAGTCGACTAAAAACCGGCTAACGTGACGCAACGCCGATTTGGCATCGACCGATTCTTCATACAAATTGCAAGCAGACCAAAGTATTGGCCGACAAAAAGTCTGCGGGGTGTCTAAGGCCGCTTTCACATTAGGGCTTGAGAAGCGCGACAGCAGCGTTTTTATAATGTGAAGGCAGGCATCCGCTCTCATATAGTATGAAATTATCGGCAGCGCATCTGTTGCGCGTTTGTCGCGTTGCTAAGCCGCCTAAATGTGAAAGCTAAAAGTCTTAAGGCTGGGTTGCACCATCTTATTTTAACTTTGACAAACGTCAAAAATCCTTCAAACTCCATACAAAAAGCACCGGATAACGTTATAGTTACGGTCAAAGTTAGGTGGTGCAACTCAACCTAAAGCCTTGATCACACGTACCGAGTAAACGGGCGAGTCAGTAAAATGTTTACTCGGTCGAGACAGTTAGCGAGTCACATACTACGAGCACTCGGCGTAATGTTCATACACACCGAGTACTCGGCCGAGAGCACTGTCTCGCCCGTTTGCTCGGTACGTGTGATCAAGGCTTTAATAGGTGAACAAGCCCTCACCAATGGCGTCGAGCGTGTGATGCGCATGCGGCTGCGCTGCGTCCAACGGCGCGTCATCTTCCAACTCGTCGTCATCGTTGAACCACATTTCTTCCTCGTCGTCCGGCGCGCGCGCCTCTCGTCGGTACCTCGTGCGCAAAAGAGACGGAACTACAGCTTCCGTCACACCCACACTGCCGCTCACTGGAACGATCGGCGCTAAGATTAAGGCGGCCATCTCTCTCGGATTCCTCGGATTCGTCCCGGTTTGCAGCGCGTCTGCAAGGTGGTTTTAAAGTGTTCACGTGAAACGCACTTCACACACTTTAAATACGAACATTATAGTTTGCTAACTACTGTGTACGTAATGGGAACTAACTACACGGACTTGTTTCTATTGCCCGTTAATTTGCGTTTACTATTTTCTATTTATGAATATCAAAAATACACTACAGCTCTAAGATAATTTAGGGGGAATCCAATGGCATAATACAACAAATAAGTATTTCACTTGAATTAATTACTTATCGCCCACATGAAATCATGCAAAACTGGCAAAAAACATGCATTTTAATAGTGTACAAGCAAGGGCAGTTACTTGTATTAGTTTTATAAGTATTTTTGTTAATTGACTCCATATTGTTTATTTTTAATAGATATTAATTTGTGAGACATGAGTGTTAACATGCAGGTGGTATAGTGAAATAAAAAAATAAAAAAGTGCTGAAACATAGCAAGAAATGAGTAAGCATAGCCATTAAAAAGAATATAACAATTCATTACCTCTATCTCTCTCTTTCAACTTGTCCTGGTGTTGGTCATACCGCGTTTTTAATGCCTTGAATATCTGTACGTATTCAACGTCTTCTAAAATTTTACCGTAGTTTTCCACTATATGAGAACAAAGTGATTTGATGTCTTCTAGTCTAATAAAGTCAAATAACTCTAGTATAGCAGAGTCAAGTAAGTTATATCTGAAAAATAACAGTGTAAGTTAATTACTCAATTTCATACAATATCTGCACCTACACTACTGGATCGTCGTGGGAACGAGCCCTAAGCCAAAACTAAAGGAGCTTTCAAATTAGGCGTTTTGAAATGGACGTTAGTCGTCCATATGCAGTACCACACATGGAAAATTGTATAAAAACAGCTTTGCAACAATAAATAATCAAGTTAGTGTGCAGTCTTACAAACGCACGACTAACGTCCGTTTCAAAACGCCTAATTTGAAAGCTAGACTTAGGGCTCGTTTAAACGACGATCCAGTAATGTAGGATCCTGAAAAACTGGAATGTCGTGTGAACAAAGTCATGTGTGTTTGAAATTCAAATTACAAATTCAAAAAATTCAAAGGGATCGGTTTTTTGCGAGACACTCCACGGGATGTTGATTTTGATGGTTTCATCCACAAAGACGCGCCCCACCAATTTTTGGTCGAGTAAAGCGCAGGGTGCGGGGAGTTTAATCCGAGCAATCCGAGCGTCATTATTGTAGTGTGCGTGTGCACTCATGGATGATTTAGCGTGTACCGATAACACTCAAACATTAGCGCAAGAATGGCGCGCCTCTTCGTGGATGAAACGATTTATAACAAGTCATTAGCCATTTTTGTTCACTCACCTGCCATTATTTCTAAGAAAAGCGTCAATAACTGGCGCGAAGAGATTGCCCTTGATAATGTATCTGTTATAGTATTCATCCTTGAGTGCGATTATTTTCCGCATGAACCTTAGAGCGCCGAGAACCAGGAAGGTGTGCGTCGACCTCATCAGCACCAGTATACGACGGAGGAGATCCTAAAACAGATCAGACAAAAGTTAAAGTACAGAGAAACTGATTCTTCATTTGTATAGGACTTTATTTTTAATGCTTCAACCACACCAAAGCGTGCAGACCGCCATCGCCGGCGTGATCACGGCGCGATCATAGGCATGACAAGTTGCGCGAACTGTCATGGGTCGATTTGTCTTAGAACATCGTCGATAAGAATTTATCATGGTGTAGAAACACCTGAAGTCTATGTGTGTACGAAACGACAACTGTTGCAATGCAACATAAGCAATGCTATGTTGCATTCAATACGTGCTAGTTTGTAACAACTAATAACTGAATCTAATGTACTCCCCAATGTATGAAATGAGTTGAGTCATCATTTATGTTTATTCAAGAAATTGGCATTACGTCATCACAGGTGATTCCCCTGATTGTGGACGTCAAAACTCGCATATACGTGCGAGACATTCTCTATGGTTTTCACATTCTAATGTCAACACAAACTATCAACCACTAGCCTGTATCAGTACATTCAGTACTTAGTTTTCTTTTTTTGTCAAAAATCACAGCATAATTACCTATCTTCAAAATAACTTTGTAATGTGGTGACTAGATAAAGGATTCAAATACATAAAACATGACTTTACAGGTATAATTTGGCTAGATTTGAACTTATAGCATGCATTATACCCTGATAGATATCTTCTATTGTTCTCTAAAAGTATCCTGGACTAGCCGGGCTAAGATGCGCGTCGTAATAAAATCTATTGATGATTTTATTTAGATGACAAATTTATGGGTTTATCGCGTAAAATCGATACAATGACGTGATAAACGCTTATCGCGGCGCTCATCTTAGGCCCACAGGGGTAGACCTTATGCAAACATCTGCAAGGACTTCTAACCAAAAACGAGTTAATGATCTTGACAAACTGGGCAACTTCAAAACATCAATGTAGACTATGCTTCTAGATGATGCCATTGTAAACTGTACTTTAAATGAATACTAAGACAGATCCAAAGCCAACAACAAATATAAATGCGAAAGTTACAGTATGCAGTAGTATTGTTTATAACTCAGAATAATATACATAACATAGGCTATAATTTATGATAACCTGTGGCAAAATTTCACGCGGGTGAAGCCGCGGGCAAAAGCTAGCTACATACAAATTGCTAAACAAACCTTGTTGAGTATGCAGGTTTTGATATGGTAGGTGTGGTGTTCCACACAGAATGATAGCAGTTCCAATACCAGACCCAATAGCTGCACAGTGTGGTAGTCTTCTTTTAGTGGCTTCTCACCAGTTGTGTTCTCTAGGAGAGGGGCTGAAACAAGATTGAATATCAGTCAACAGAAAACAAAGTTATCAGATTCTCTTTCAACAAAACTGTAATGTTCAAACTTTCACAGTAACTTTGCCTGAAGAGTGAAAAGTTAAGATATTTAATATATTTTTACCTATTGTGCCTTTTCCCCCTCAATTTTTCATCAAAATTTAAAGGTTTTTGTTCTGCCCTATTTAATTTATAACTAAAGTCACTATGAGTGATGCTGTTTAAATATGATAAGCCAAACATTATAATAATGTATAATAAACCAATCATTACAGATTATATAACTGATGAATGATGTCATAAATCAGTTTTCAGTGCAATGACATTAGTTTTAGATGCAAGTAAGCAACATAAGTTTTTATAATCACATGTCATATTATTATCATAATAATGTGTTTATATGATAAGCCAATGATATCGGTCAAGGTCACTCACCTATCAGAGTTTGTATGCTGTGTTTGTAGAAGAAGTTTAGGAAGTCTGCCTTCTCGCTTTTGTTCACAGATGCCAGCATACTCTCTGGGTCGAGTAAGATACGTAGCACACCCATTAGCTGCACAGCTCCACCGAGTTCAGGGTCACGGTCACGAAGCATTTGTTCTATGACAATGTTCAACAACATTTGCTCCTGAAATTTAAAGGAATCATTATTATTTGGCTATAAGAAACTGTTTCAAATAATTTGAGTTGAATAAGATAATGATAGTTTACCTCTTCAGTATTGTTAGCTTGCTGTAAAGTATAATCTCTCACGACAGAAGGAGAAAACTCCACTATGTAGGTTAAAATATCTATAGATGCAGTCTTGGTCTTCTGATCATCTATACTTAATGTAATTTCTAAGGCTGGCAGGATACCCAATGAAACTAGGGTCTTATAAAACACATCCTTATCCTGTGGCTGTAGATTTTGTGAAAAATTACAAAACTCCTTTAAAAATAGAACTAAGTCCCTTCTCTTTGTGTCCGGTGTCTTCTCATCAATAAGCAATTTGAACAGATCAGTTAAAAACTTTTCGTCCTCTTCTATAAGTTTAACTATTTCTACTTTATTGAAAAATATAAAACTGGATAATGTGCTTAGCAGATTATCCTCAAAAACTGTTGGTGTAGGCAGTACAATGTCCTGAATGTATTGCACTCTGTATGTCTGATGTATCTTAGCTAGGAGATCTTGGTTCTTTATAGGAATAGCCTCACGGAATTTGGCCAACTCTCTTAGATACTCTCTGTGTTTCTTAGGCTGTGGCAGGCTGGGATCATATTCAAGACACCCGACCACATCAAATATAGTGTCATCAGCAAACATTGTGTCAAATAGTGTGTTTTTGTTGAGAAGAAAAATACTTTTGAAGATTTCATAGAGATGATGCAATCCTTCAATGTTTTCGATGTCCTCACACATGTGGAAGAGGTTGAGTAGTTTCTTTATGTAGTGTTGGCTCTCCAATGCTGCTGCAAGTTTATCTTTTCGTGCTGGTGAAACTAAACAGCTGTTCACTAGCTCACTGATGTCTTCCAGACGGCCCATTTCACAGGCTGGCAACTCCACTGGTTGTACACTATCTGACATTTCATCAAAGCGCTCATCTTCTGACTCTTCAACAATATCTTGTGTGATTTCAACTGAAGGATCTTTTCCTTGGACCTGACACACACATGAAAATTTAATTTTGAAGCTTATTTATGTTTACCCAACCTAACAATATGAGTGCATTGCTTTCATAAGATTCTAACAAGAAACAAATTTTTGAACAAATCTGTGAAAAATTATTGAATTATTTATTGAAGGAAGGAGGGAAGTAAATGAATAAAATTACATACCTGACAAATCTTTTCCCATATCTCATCGCAGCCTGCTTTCTCTTGAAAACTTAATGCTAAATCAAAGTTGTCTCCTTCTGACCAAACTATTAGTGTATCCTGCTGTTTCTGGTATGCTGTATCTGGTTGTATTTTACTCTCCAGTAGGAGAGAACCATCTGACTCTGCTCTCACTAGCAGGGATGTGCCTTTGAGTCTCTCCACATAGCATGATGATACGTGACCTGTACCTCTGTCGTCCCACTGCCGGTCAGCATTCAGAGCGTAAAGCTTTACTCTTCGTCTAGTGTCTGTCATGATAGTCAACGCTCTAAAGACTACGTACTCAAGTAATGAATCAATTATTATGGCGCTAATGAATTGCACCCCAATAATATCTTATTTAACTCCCATTTGTATAAAAACATGTGCACTTCTGAAAGAAACAGCAATGTTACAATGTGATGTTCGCAATTCTAATTACCGTAATTACTCGTATCTTGTTCTCGAGTTTTATGTAAAACACAGTAAAATATACAACAAAAAAGCCTCCTTTCAATTGAAAACAGCGCAATCCACAATTTATTCAGCCACAAACTGAAAACTATAAACTGCAATTCGGTCTAACAATGGAATATTCACAAAATTATCGGAAATCACAAACAAAACAATACAACTTATTTGCCTTTCACTACACTGCGCGAACTTCCAAAATTATCGCAATAAAGAGAACAGCTTCAGTTGCATTCAATAGACGTACAAAACTTATGATATTTACCGGAATTATCATTATACAATCGTCAAATTGACGTACCTTCAAAATAGTCTAACATCAAATATCGCCATATTGGATTCACAACAACGCTTCGAGATTGGGGTTCTCAAATCGAATACAAAGCGCGGCAGATTCAAATCATACTGCGCTGAATCACGGCTGAATGTAAAGTTTTACAAGGTTTTTCTGATGATTATTCGTAAAATGTATAATTTGGTGGTTTTTAAGGCTAAAAACAGCTTGATTTTTCAGATAATCTACTTTATTAACTCCATTCCATAGTGGTGATTTCACTTTTTTTCTAGTGTAGGTGAGTGTAGGTATTTTATGGTAGGTATATTGTACAAAAGTGATTAAAAAGGAGAACAACCATTTTGGGCCCAAGTTTGTACAGAGTTGTACATTGGTAGGTTTTTGATATTATATTACGCATACATTAGGGAGTATTTTACGGTAAAAATGATAATTTTAACTGATGTCGTAAGTCGTATACAATAATAAAAACGAATTAATGATTTAATCTAAGATAACGTAAAATGGAACGTTAAAAGTCAATCGATTAAAGACTCAATACACTATACTGTCCCACCAAACTCATTGACAGGGGGGCGCCACCATCGTTCAACTATATAGTTTCTAACATGGCAAAAATCGGAACCAGCGATCCGGTATTGACGGTGGCGCCCCCTGTCAATGTCACGGGTGGGACAATTCAGTGTATTTGATCTTTAAGAAGGTTTGTACTGACAGATGACAAAACTAAAATGATTGAATGAATTATTGAATGAAAATATAGTTCTAAAATACTGGACTGTCCTGTCGATGACATTGACAGTGGGGCGCCACCGTCAATACCGGATTGCTGGTTCAGATTTTTGCCATGTTGGAAACCATATAGTTGAACGATGGTAGCGCCCCCCTGTCATTGAGTTTGGTGGGACAGTTCAGCGTGGGTCATCTATAATTCGTTTTGTCATCTGTCAATGCAGCAATGTCACTTGCGAATCACAGATGAGACCACAGATTAGAGAGTATGACTGGACTGTCCTGTCGATGACATTGACAGTGGGGCGCCACCGTCAATACCGGATTGCTGGTTCAGATTTTTGCCATGTTGGAAACCATATAGTTGAACGATGGTAGCGCCCCCCTGTCATTGAGTTTGGTGGGACAGTTCAGCGTGGGTCATCTATAATTCGTTTTGTCATCTGTCAATGCAGCAATGTCACTTGCGAATCACAGATGAGACCACAGATTAGAGAGTATGACTAAAGGCTTAGATAGATTAAAAGGTGAGACTGTTGCGAATGCTTGTTGAATTGAATTAAAACGAATTAAAAGAAGAAGAAGAAATAAAACTATCGATTAATAACATTTTATGCTATTTCTAACGGATTCTGCTTGCGATTTGGGTAACTGACGACTTGATTTTGTATAAAAGTATCATTTTTTCTAGTTTTTTCTAATTTAGTTTTCTCGAGAATGACACTAGTTAGCAACCTCAAATAAACACAATAATAAACTAGTTTATGAAGGCATAAAAACGACATAAAATTTGTAGCTGTACAAATAACTTAGTACTGGGCCCAACGCTTCATAGAAAGTGGTTGTTCTCCTTTGGTTTTGTTTGTAGCTTCACAGTTTATTAATTTGTATCTTCATTCGCGATATTTTATTAAGATAATAAGACTACTTACCAGTTTTGTTTTAGTTTTACAGTACATTGGCGCAATGGTTAGTTATTGTCAATATAAGATTTAATCAATTCCCGTGCCCAGAAGCCACCACTCATGTGGAGTGTACTGTGATTATAAGGGTGTAGGTAATAAAAGTGCGCCAAAATGTTAAATATGATTTAATTTTGATTGCTTTATGTGTTTATCCCTATTATTATCCCTACTTCCCTGCGCGATGCGCACGATAAAGTTTTTCTGTGGAACACAAAATATCACGCGAGTGAAGTCGCGGGCAAAAGCTAGTAATTTAGTTTTTTTCTATCTTTATTTCTTTTTATATTTATTTATTTTCTTTGAGCATTTTGCGTTATTTCGCTGATTTCGTGTGATCGAAGAAGGATCGAGGTCACTTTGTCCGCCTAGCTGACAACACCTTGTCACGTTTAGAAACCACGAGCTACACGCAATGAGCTACAAAATGAGCTAGTGTGATGAGTAATCAACGTTTTTTTTTCTTGTTGATTTCTGAACGTAACCGCATTTTGGCTGCCATTTGCTGTATTCTGTCATTCTTTCGATGTTATTGAATTTATGTGTTTTGTTTTATTAATTTCAGCCAAATTAATATTCAAAATAGACGGCTAGTGTTATTACCCTAATTCCCTTTAGGTAAATATTTATTCCTAAGCAAAATGTACCGGAAATCATCAATAGTAAAATGTGAGATTTTGCGTTCTTATTTTAGGTATTCTGAGGCTTTTGTGGTAGAAATAGCTAGTTAATCTAATACAAAATATGCTAGTTTATTCATAATTCAGTATTGTAGACAATTTAATGTTGGAATTTTCCAGGAAAATTGATGATACCTACTCTACTTGACAGATGTCATTGTGTTTGTCAATTTTATCAATGAAATTGTTGTCGTAAAAAGCACAATATTTGTGTTTTTATAATCACTAGAGTCGTAATTTTAGATCACAGCGTCATAATTTTCTACTCTATTTCTTTCCAGTATGATGCAGTGGGACCAAATATTTTTTTCTACATCATTATTCTAGCAGAATTATTTTTATTAACAAGTTGTAAAATGAACCCATTATGTCTTATTTGAGTGCTTCAGAAAATGTGGGGTTAGTATACTTATCAAGGCTCATCTTTTGTGCTCTTTATCATGGTAAATGTTCTTTTTATAATCCATGAATCCATTAACCTTTGTGCCGGAACATTGCCACACCTTCTAGAAACTAATTTTATCGCTTTCAATGAACAATGAAACTTGTAAATGAATCACAGTTATGTTTTATTAAGAAAATAAAAAGTTATTCTTCAGAATGTTTAGAATCTTATATATTTTAATAAAATTTCCAGGTTCAGTGGTATTCCACAAAATATATCTGATGGGAGCTGCGCGACGCAGTATAAGATGGCAGTTGAGGGCGTGGCGGGGAACTGCAGCAACGAGGTCAACATGTACATACAGGATAGTTCTGGAGACGAGCAGCCCTACATAACACACCTCAACGAAAACTTCTTCCATACCAAATTTAAAATAGATCCCAACGAATTATATACGTTCCATGACTCTGACGTCATAGCTAGCGAAATAACAGTGAGCCATACAGAGGATGCTTTTATTTTTCCTGAAAATGTTGATGTTAAGAATAAAATGTTAGACAGCCCCAGTAAAGAAATTGATCTCATAGAATCACTTACGAATGGGGAGATTAAAGAAGAAATCAAAACTGAGGTTCCTAACGGGCATTATCCACCTATTTCAAAATCGTCATCTCCTATTTTTAAAGATACCAAAGCTCAGAAAAGTAAAAGTCAGGTTACAAAAGAGATGAGAACAAATTCTCTGAATGAAGTTCGTCGCTCCAGTGTTCATAGTCCGAAGGGGCGAAGTAGTGCTTCATCTCCTGTGGCGGGCAACAAAAGCAGTATTAGTAGCGCTAGTTCCAATCAAGGGAAGACCGCTGCTGTGGCTAGGTCTGTGTCGGAAACTTTCTTGGATGTGTTTAAGAGAGAACAAGGGCTTGTTGAAGGTATTCCAGCTACTATCATAAAAACTGAGCCCTTATCAGGCCCTCCCCCTCCTGTTAAAATACCAGCACCAACACCGAAAAAAACTCAAGGAGGTAAGTGTGATTAGAATAAAAATTTTAGCTAAGATTCTAATAGAAATGATAGGTTCTTGCCTTGGTTTAGAAAGACTTATATTTTCTTTACTAAATAATAAATGTAGAAGTAGTTTCACATTGATTGTTTCTTGTAGAAGGTCTTTTGAAGGTTAATCATGAAAGGAGAAGCATAGGGCAAAACAGTGCCTCAGGCTATGGTCTCATAAACGCTATACGCGGCCTACGACGTAAACGTCAAAGGTTCCTATCGACGCCATATGCCAACTTCAATGTCTGAAAGAGACCACAACAGTACATTTCTCTAGTAAGCATTGGCGCATTTCATTTTCTGGTATAGCGACGACTCAATAGAAGGCGAAATACCTAAGGCGGGTCCAGGCATGTATCATTTGCCCGACCCGATCACCGTATCCGTATCGTCGACGCGTATCATGAACGCATAATAATATGTGGACGGGTAATGATATATACCTATCATGATACGGGATCTCGATACGCCGTTATGATACGGCCCTTCCCATTTCGTGTCGGTTTTTTTCCGATCATCCAAAATGATACAGATAATAGAAGATATGGAGCAAATCGGAGGCGTCCACAACTTGATACGGGGCTTGATACTATACGTAGATACGGATACGCTGATATGAACGGTGATAGGATCGGTCAAATGATCATGTCTGGACCTGGCTTTATAAGGCACATATTGGCATTCAAATCTAATCTATGTGACACATAAAGCCTTATTACCCGTCCACATATGCGATCATGATACGCGTCGACGATACGGATACGGTGATCGGATCGGTAAAATGATCATGTCTGGACCCGCCTTTATAGAGTCCAATCATTTCAGGTAAAGCCACGCCTCAGTCTAAAGCGCGTCGCGGCCGAGGCCCGGCGGTCCACGAAGCCCTACAACGGATACAAGCGCAGACGCGCGTCATACCTCTGCCGAATAGATCGTGGCACGCACCAGGAGAGGAACTGTTCAACTGTGGACCACTCACGAATAAACCCAACGCCTTCAGGCAGTTTGAGAGCAGCAGCAGTGATGATGATAATATGCCTGAGTATGGTACGTGATTTATTAATATTTTATAGATGTTAAAAACGTTTAGGAACTTTTGATTTAGTTTGAAAAAGTCTTTTCTTATTAATTCTGATTAAAATAGAGCCTATCTGCCTTTCTACATTGGGAAACAGTTATATTTTATAACAGTAATACGAAAAGTTTATTTATTTATTTATTGCACATAATGAATACACTGTATATTGTTAGGTACTAGGTACTAACATACAAATGCACACCCGGTTGGGCACAGCAATACAAAATAACAGTTATTAAATATTATTAACAATAATTAAATTTATAAATCTTAAAGTCTACTTACTTATAACTTTTATAATATATAATACAATTGCAATTAACTTAAAATATTATAATGTTAGACATTACAGTTAAAACAATATTTATTTATCAACTGAACATGAAATACTATGTTTTAGTTGGTATGATGAATCTTTGTATCTCATATTCTATTGCCAATAACAAATTATGTATTTAATTCGCTGTACTGGCTTGGGATGATAAATTATTGATATTAAACTATAGAAATATGTAGTATACACTGCACTTCCATCAGGGAAAAAAATATATGAAAATGTTAATCTTATCAATGAATGAACGACTCATGTATTTTCAATGAGTATTTCATCACCTCAAGTCATAGTTCTTGTTTACATTATTACAAATATTACAATGCGAGTATATTTTTAAGTTCATCTTAATTAATTAATGTACGATTTGGTATGATTTGATAGTAAACTCTACTTGATATCCATAATAATATTCGTGAATATTTTTTTAAGAAAAAAGGTCAAGTACCTACACTTTTATCAAGTATTCACATAACATTACAGAGGGTGGTTTTGGATCAGCATGCGTTGAGGAAAGCGCGACGGAGTCAAGAGGGGCCAGGCTAGCGCTCCGGCGGGCCGCGCTGCGGAGGCACGTAGCGAGGGCCGATGGGGAACTAGAGTTCGCTGGCAGCTTCAGGGAGCACCGGTCACTAGCTACGCTGGTCAAGGTAGGTGTTGTCGTATGTATAAACAGTTTTAAGATGATGTTGCGTTGATGATTAACTTGATTGATAAAATATAAGCCTTCCACTGTAGTCGACAGCACATCAAACCTTATACATTAGAATTAGCTACTTAATCAACTCCCTAAAATATGGCGAGGATTGAAATCAACACCCTGTATTTTTGTGGTAAAGTCCCCCTTTTTACGAAGAAATAAGGAAGAAATGAGTATGGACGACAGCACATCATGGTAAACACCGCGACGATGGAGAATTTAATCAGGATTATTCTGTTTGCGCTCACCAGTTGGCGCCACTGTATTTTTACTGGATCACCGAATCTTCTATTTGACAAATAATGATGTTAAAAATATTTCATTTTTCACATTTGCAGAATCAACTGAGCAAAAAAGGAGCGTCATCAAGTCTTCCAACCCCAACAGTGAACCATTTATTAGCAATACGAGGCATGCCTTCGTTGTTGACGTCACAGGAACGGAGGCAACTGAGGTAATTGGAGTAATGTGTCGGTTAAAATTGTCTATAAATAATGATGGTATAAATAGTTTGATATTATCACGAAGAATCGTTGCCGGTATACACTCATGAGACTCATGAGGCTCATGCATGTTCACCTGGGTGATATCACTTGGGTGAAATAATTCCGAGGTGAAATGAGCACACTAAAAAACCCAAGCGAGTCGACATTGTTTTAATTTGAAATTTGTTTTATCTCTTTCACAGGTTAAGTGGTTGGTCGGGAGGCGAAAGCGCTTCAATGGAGCACATAACGGGAGGCACTTGCGCTGAAGAACGATGCACTCAGCCGCCAATACCTTGCGGCCGGTTTTGTCTGTCCCACGTCACGATGGCGCCAGAACAGCGGCTTTACGCGCCATGCGCGGCTGTGTTCGCGGGTGGCACGCGCTGCAAACAGCCGCTGCTTCCGCTGCAGGATCAGACGCCGTTGTGCACGGAGCACGCGTGGAAGAGAGTGAGTCTTATGATGTTGCGGTTAGGGTCGCTTTTGTTTTGTATGTAAAGTTAGCGCCAGAGAAGCGGCCTTACGCGCCATGCGCGGGCTGTGTTCGCGGGCGGCACGCGCTGTAAGCAGCCGCTGCTTCCGCTGCAGGATCAGACACCGCTGTGCACGGAGCACGCGTGGAAGAGAGTGAGTCTTGTTTTGTTGCGGTTAGGGTCGCTTTTGTTTATTGCACGTGACGCTAGCACTAGTGCAGCGGCTTTACGCGCCGTGGTGTTCGCGGGTGGTACGCGCTGCAAGCAGCCGCTGCTTCCGCTGCAGGATCAGACGCCGCTGTGCACGGAGCACGCGTGGAAGAGAGTGAGTCTTGTTTTGTTGCGGTTAGGGTCGCTTTTGTTTATTGCACGTGACGCTAGCACTAGTGCAGCGGCTTTACGCGCCGTGGTGTTCGCGGGTGGTACGCGCTGCAAGCAGCCGCTGCTTCCGCTGCAGGATCAGACGCCGCTGTGCACGGAGCACGCGTGGAAGAGAGTGAGTCTTATGATGTTGCAGTTAGGGTCGCTTTTGTCTATTGCACGTGACGCTAGCGCTAAAGAAGCAGATTTTAGCCACTGCTTCGTGGAAGAGAGTGAGTCTTATTATGTTACGTGTATGGTCGCTTTTGTTTGTTGGGCACTAACACTAGAGCAGTGGCTTAACGTCATTTGCGTTACTGTGTTTGCAAGAGAGACGAGAAGAGAAGGACGCGTGCTAGGAGTGAGTCGTATTGTGCTACGTATACGTTAGATTTTCTTTAATTGAAACGACGCTAGTAAAAGACAAGTGTTTTAACGTCACGTGTCTCGCTGTATTCATGGATACTATGACCGTAGAGCGTCTATGACACATTAACATCAGCACCATTGTTTCAGGATAACTATGACAAGCTGGCCCGCGACTGCAGGCCCAAGAAGGCGGTGCGCAAGCGCATCTGGGCGGCGCCTGTGAGGCCCCCGCGGCGGCCCAAGCGGCGCAGGCGGCCGCCGCCCGCGAGGCCGCGCCCCCCGCCGCCCGCGATGCCCCTCAGCCCACACACGGCAGTAGCCCCACAGACGCCCAGCGCTGAACAGTCGCTCTCAGGTAAATGTTAAAGTCCGGTCGCCAAGCACGTAGAATTTCCTCTCCTCTCACGTAGAACAATCGGTCTCAGGTAAGTGTTAGATTACTAATGACTAGGCGCTAAGATGAAAACCAACATGATGAAGCGACCGCAGAACAATCGCTCTCAGGTAAATATTAGAATAGTCATGATTTCATGCGCTAAGATTACTACCAGTGCTAGCGATGTCAGCATCTCCAATTTTTGCCATTAAAACACCTGTCACCTTATCTGAAAGAGCTCATTACGCCGATTCTCGATCAATATAAGACTTGCTAAAAACGAAGTTATTGCTGATATCACTAGCACGGCCATATGGTTGACTCATCTGGGCGTCGCCTGCGAGGCCCTGCCCCCCGCCGGCCGTGAGGCCTCTCAGCCCACACACGGCGGTAGCCCCACAGACGCCCAGCGCTGAACAATTTTGTGCCGCAGACGCCCAGCGCTGAACAATCGCTCTCAGGTAAAGACTGGTCATGATTTCATGCGCTAAGATCAAAACCAACATGGCTGACTCGTTATCTCCACACGGCTTTTGTGTCGCAGACGCCCAACGCAGAACAATCGCTCTCAGGTAAGTTAGAATGGTCATGATTTCATGCGCTAAGATTAAAACCAACATGGCTGACTCGTTATCTCCACACGGCTTTTGTGCCGCAGACGCCCAGCGCTGAACAATCGCTCTCAGGTAAGTGTTAGTTTTTTTTATGTGACAGGAGGCAAACGAGCAGACGGATCACCCGATGCTAAGTGATTACCGTCGCCCATAGACACCCGTGGTCCCAGGGGTGTTACAGGTGCGTTGCCGGCCTTTAAGGTGAATACGCTCTCTTTTTGAAAGAATAGTCGGCGGGCACTCACGGACAATTAAAATACACTCCACAACATAGACCTAGCAGCAAATAAACTTAGTAGAGCGTGTGGTGAACACTAATCCATGAAACATATCTTTTGGAGTCGTCATATCTATCCATCATTGGAAGACAGACTCTTTTTCACGTTAGTACAAAGTTAGACTTGAAAAAAGTTTTGATTGAAAACGAATAGCAGGAAATGGGAAAGCTTAGATTAGATCTCAAGGCAACAGGGTTTTTTATGGCATTATAAAAGGTTTTTAATTCTTGTTTCAGAAATCAACGTGTGTTCAAACTCATCCACCTACGACAGTTCGGAAGACACGGCCATGGGCGCGCTCAGCGAAAATGAATACATCACTGTCGCGAGCAATTCCCATGAACTCGGTGCGTATTGCTTTTGATGGTTAAGTGCGGGTTCGAATCCCGACAGTGGCAAATATTATCCCCCTTATTACAAAAAGTTAGACTGGTTGAACCCTGGTTTAAATTGACATTTAGTTAGGATCAGAATCATTTTAAACCAGTTTTCGTCCCGGTTTAACTTTTTTGAAATAAGGGGGTATGGTTTAGTGGCTTCATTCAGTCAGTGCCTGAAGTATGAAAGCGGCACGAGAGGGGTGACATTGACATATTGTGACGTGACAGAGCATATAGATGACCCACGCTGAACTGTCCCACCAAACTCAATGACAGGGGTGCGCTGCCATCGTTAAACTATATGGTTTCCAACATGGTAAAAATCGGAACCAGCGATCCGGTATTGACGGTGGCGCCCCGCTGTCAATGTCATCGATAGGACAGTTCAGTATTTTGGAACTATATACAATTCTGAAGTCTCGTTGACATTGACCGTCATCGCGTCACCTTCCCGTGCCGCTCCCATACGTCAGACACTGACTGACTAAAGCCAGAGTAAATACAAATGAGTAGAATTTAGCGTTGATTAGCGGGGAGTTGCCCCGAATTTTGTCAGTGTGTGCGTGCGCGCGGCATACGTATTGGCGCGCTCACATACAAACCGCGCTCGGTGCGTTTCTATGAAGATGACCTACTCATTTGTATTTACTCTGCTAAAGCGCTCGATCTATAGTGTGACGTACGAAAGCACATAGTCATGAATATCCGTTATCCAGTCGTCATAGTACACAGCACATCAAATTACATTTCTGTTGTAAAATAGCCTGTATTGCAACAAGATAACACGCCATTGTGTTTAGCTTTATGTGCTGTCGTCAATAAGAGCTCTACATATTTAGTTGTTATTGGTGTACTTAATTAGTTTGGTGTACTTTAAAAAAAAAAATTAATTGAGCGTTGTACCAAGTTTTTATCTCTTAAAAATAATTCAACTGTCACTTTCTGTAGCGAATAAAATCACTAGTTACCAGTGTCCAAACAAAAAAGCTGTAGCATCAATAAATATGTTTTCTAGAACTACGAGCTAATAGGAAAAGAAAGTTACATTTATTGTTATTACTTTCCACTTTCATTTGTTGCAAATCACATTGTGTAACTGCTATATAATAGTTGTATAATATTGGATACATAAATATGTTGTATAATATTCGATTCTTTAGGTCTTAACGCTTAACTCACTCAGTACCTGAGGTCACGGGAGGAGGGGTGACATTGACACATTATGACGTGTCACGTGACAGCATATAAATCTGAGGGAAAAGTGGTCGAAAGGCCTTTTTTATGGAGTTTTGACGGATTCGATTTTCGATTCGATCAAAAAGTGCACTTTGTCTAGACCTGCTGAAGTCTTGCTGACGTTAGACGTTACATAAATCTTCCCGTGACGCTCCCATATCTGCTGAGGTGTTAACTCAGTGCTTAACCAGGCCTATTCATCTCCGCGAGTTTACATCGAAAACAAAACAAGCACGATGGCACCCTACAGGATTACTATTCGACAAGGCCCCACATACGAGCGAGCATTGACTCACGCACGCGTATTCTTGTGTATGATGGAAAAAAATTAAGACAATGGTATACTAAATACTGTGCAGCATTTAACTGCCTAAATAATCTAAATAATAATAAAAACACAGAATGTACTTTTTTAAGTTGCCTGAAGACACTGAGAGGTAAATAATAAGTGGTTAATATTATTTATGATAATTCATGCTTAATCATGTATTTCCTCCGCCATTTTCCGCAGTTTAGCACCTCACGTCACACATCATTTTACCGAAGTCAGCCCTATGGCTTCGGCGCAGTACCGATCACTGACGTTTGTCAACAAAATGGTGCTTGACTCTTGAGACAAGCTAAATTCCACCATATTGTTAATGACATTGAGCATATTTTTTTTTAAATACCTTCGCGAAGTAAAACTTCTGTACGTAATACTTATTATTATTCTGTGGTATTATTGTTTATAATCCAGAATAACATATAGGCTATAATTTATGACGATCTGTGACAAACTAAAGTTCATGCGGGTGAAGCCGCGGGCAAAAGCTGAACGCTGAAGTCTTGCTGATGTTTGACGTTACAAAAACACTCCCGTGCCGCTGCCATACCTCAGGCACTGAGTGAAGCGCTAATATAATATTCGTAATTGTTCCAACAGTTGAGGTGGAGCAAGTTCCGCATGATGACATCCTCGATCCTTCGGTCCTCAGCCAGATTCCTGATGAGGCTTTCACGGAGTTTTTTAATCAAGGTATGTTAACAATACTTTTTTAAAACATCTTGCAGGAAAGTAGCATAGTTGAAGATATTGGAAGTTCCATTATTTTCTTAAAACAATTAGTAAACGGGTATTGAATTCAGCGAACCTAATAGGTTTGAGGTCATTACATCATTTAGGCCCAGAACAGACGGTGAAACGCAACTGCAACGAAACTGCAACTGCTAGTTACTTTTGAGTTGCATCTAAGTTTCTGCCATAGCGTCCGTTGAGATGACATGACGCGACCAGTTTGAAACTTTCAGTTTCAGTTTCTTTCATCAGAATCATCAGGAAGTTGCAGTTTTGTTGCAGTTGCGTTTCACCGTCTGCTCTGGGCCTTAACGAACAATGTAATGTATGGAATATATGGAATGTATGAGCGACAGCAATAGAAAAAGAACACTACTGCTTATTTGTTCACTATTGCTTAATTTTATTACGAATACCGCTGTCGCTTATAGTGGCTAAATAATAACCCAATAAGAAATATAAGAATCTTTAAGCGTTATTTTGGCTTAATTGGAATCAACTAAAGTCACATCGTCGAATCGGTGTTTTACTGTAGACTGCTTAGTTTTTACTGCTTTATTCATAGACACGCGTTAAAGTTAGCTACAGAAACAGTGTTCATTTGTACATTTAGAAAACAAATTATGTAGCATGTAACAGCATTTCTATGAAGTATCATATTCTTTTCTTAGCGGAAGGTGGTCCAGCGTTCGCGGGTTCGGAACTAGCGGCGGCGCTAGAAGCGGTGCTCGACGAACGTGTGCTCGACGAGCGAGTGCTCGACGAACGCGCGCTCGACATGACCGACTCTGTGTTCGTGCACGCGCCGCACGCCGTGGCCAAGAACAAGGTAATTTGTTACTTATTTTTTAGAGTGTAGAGGTGCATTTAGCTCAGTGACGGCGGCGAACACGAACTCATGACGTGTTATTTCGAAATACGTGATATTTAGACAGTACTTACTTTTTAGAGTGACGTCATGTAGGTATATAAGAATATAAAATCCTTATTTGTCAAAAAAAAATAATACAAAGACCAAAAAGAATCAAATAAAACTACAAATATTTTTGTGCCAAAACGGCGTATGATAATGTTTCATGCAAAATCTACAATAAACACTAACATCGATTGCCTTTTGGCGTCTGAATTTATTTTAACAGCCAAGATTGTATTTTCAATTTTTTTTTTTCAGTTATCCCTTCTATTTTGTCAGTGAACGTAGTAAAAAATAAAGATATTATGATTAAAAAAAAATCAAATTGACATATCAGTTTCTTTCTTGGTTAAATAATTAAGTTATTTAACGTTAAATAATCGCTTGCAGATACAAGTTCCAGCGTCAGTGGCCATGGAGATGTCGACAAGCGCGCCCTCATAACATAATAACTTTACACTTGTTATGTTAAGCAAAAATAAACTTTGTGTACTATAAAACTTAGGAACAAATTCGATATTCATAGTCTCAAGAGTTGAAAATATTTTTCTTCATGCTTTAAGTTTCGTATGTGTGGTTGTGTAGGGGTGATTATTTTAAGTGTTAAGAGTTGAATGTATTTCGTATAGAGAATGTGTTGGAATGTTGAATATTATTATTTTTAATGACAATTTACTCGGATATTAGGCTCTCGTAATAGAGGAAAGTACACGAGTAGAATGTCAGTTGTTTGAATTATACATGCGTAATTTTAACCTTTTATACACTTCATCGCATGTGTAATTTGTGCAATGTGTGAGAATGAATGGCGGGTGTCGTCCACATTCTACAGTACTCTTATTTATGCCAAATTAGTATTTATGTGGGGATTTTTTCCAGATACACTTTAATTTTACTCTACTAATAATGGGTTTAATATAAGGGATGTAGTTGAAGGCTTAGTTTAAGTTTTCTCGATCTCGTTTAACTGTCGAACTTAATTTTAATCTTCCTACTTATTTTTTTGAAAATGTAAACGAAATGGGGATGTTGCCTGGGTCAAAAAGCCTATGATTACTTTAGTTTGTGGTCGATGCGACATCTGGTGGCGTTTCGTAGGTAACTTCGCCTTCGTCGTCGTTGTCATAGGATAGTTTAGAGGAATTGTTATGCGTAGCATTGTGTCGTGTCGTGAATTGGGTTGTGTCGTGGTATGTTTGTTGGCTCGAAAGTCACTACAGGAATGTGCAATCATAAACACGAATATGGAGATAATCTTCATGTTCTTTCAAGATAAACTTTTTTTATTTTTATAATGTATTGGCGATAATATCGCTTAGCCTAGGCACAGACCACCGACTTTTAGTTGGCCGATAGTTGTGCCCGATTCTAATTTGTATGAAGAATCGGCCGATACCAAATCGGTGTAATGTGCGCACTTTCATACATGTCCATACTGATTAACAGTCCGACTCAACTATCGGCCAATAAAAATTGGTGGTCTGCGCCTAAGCTTACATAAGTACCTACTTCTGCAATATTTTTAGTTCATAACTAAACATGTATTTTTATGAAACTCGTAAAATAGTTTATAAACGAATACATCTTTTCAAATAGCGATCTCATAAACTATATCATCATCAGAATTCATGTGTTGTAACTTAAATTAATTTTGATGACATTAATTATACTTTACTTTCAACTTTATTACGATTAAGTTAGGTTATTAAGTTTTTTGTCACAAAATAATACATTAAAATTGTCTTGTTAATTATGACATATTCGCTCCAGTAAAATTCACAGTCGATTTTTTCGTAATGTTTGTATGTAACACATTTTTTAAGTGAACGATATTAGAGATTCCTGTAGTGAAGTCGGGCATCAAGTTGTATTGTGGAAAGTTTCATGCATTATACACGCGATACTTTTTGCCACTACCGTGAATTGCGTACTATTTAGGCAAGCAATTGGGTGGTTGACACTAATAACCAAGCCACCAATCTTTAAAAGCAATCTTTAATAATCCTCTTTGACATACAAAATTTATGGACATGTCACGTTTTGACAATTAACTCTTTAAAATGTTGACTATGGTGTTCACTATCCTATTGAATCGCCTCTAGATAATGTAACGGTCGTAATTGCTTCGATTCGATAAAGTTGCATAATATCAACTGCTTTGTAACTTGACTAAAGAGCGAAATAATCGCGAATCAAAATCGAATGACACTTTATCTGGCGCATTTCATGAAACTGTGTGCAGCTGATGCATTTAAAAAGGCAAATTTAAATCGTAACAAACAAACTTATTTCATAACTTATGACATTAACCAAAACATAACATAAGTCTGAATAATCTGACATTGTTTTGTTACAGACCAAAGTCCGATAAACAACAAAGCCTTTATTATACCTGGTAATTTTCATTACGAATTGCAATGATAGAGCAATTTTACGCGTTGTGAACTGATTCGCTATCTTTTTCTATTTATATAAATCATTACTAGTTATTTGAAAGTAACTGTTTGTATTTCACGACCAAACAAAACTGCTATTTCAATTATGACGATTGTTTATTACAGAAGTTGGGCGAAAAACTACTTTATTTATTTATTTATTTGTAATAGGTATACAAACAGTTTACAGTCTAGGCTTCATCGTAAAGAAAACTTTTGTTTGAAAGGCTGAAAACTCGTTATTTTTAAAGAGTATGACCGTTTCATGAAAAAATTAATCGACGCGGTCGAAGCTAGCAACTCAAGCTATATTACCTGTTACACTGTTAACGCATCCTTTGCGATTTCTAGTTGCTGTTCGTAATGCAATTACCGGTGTATGAATTACTGTTAAATCTACCAAAGCCCCGATTTAAATGAAAAAATAACCTTTTTTGCCAAAGTCGACATGCTGTACCTTTTGAAAACTCAGTCGAGCGTATTTGAAAGTGTCTATCGAAATATCATTGCTTTTTTGCATGAAAAATGTGAAAATGGGATTTCAAGTAAGCCGCCTAAATCTTTTCATGAGATGCTAGAACGTTAAGCAATAACTAGATATAATTTTAATTGTATTTACTGTATGTCCGCAAAACGTATCGTGTGTCTACGAATTGCTAAATAAAAGTTTGTCACGAAAAATTTATAATGATAATAATTCAATTTGTAATTCCACATAATGTCAAATTAAACGTTTCTGCGTTTAATCTGACCAAATGCGTGTTTTATAAACTAGACATACATTTTCAGTGCTCAAATTAAAACATTATAGAAATTAAATGTAAAGATGGCAAGATGAAAGTAAAACAGTGATCGATTAGTGTTAATTTTTTATGACAATTCTTATTTGGTAATTTGTACATTTTTATTGTAATTAAGCGCGGAATGTGTACACAGAACAAACCATATTTACTCAGATAATAATGCTTTAATCTGTATATAGAGGAATCAAATGGAAAGTGACTGTGCCTCATATATTGGTGGAACATAGTTTTATCGTTTGCTTAGCATTTTAATAGAAACAATATAATAAAACCAAACACCACTACAATGTAAATCTGGATATATAAGTTGCCTTATATTTGACCTGTCTGTGTTTTCATCTCGGTATCAAAGAGACGTATGGAACTATTTAAAATATTTTTACCCTTAAACAAGCGTGGAGTCTTTTAGAAAATATTTAGATGTGGATAAAGCTCATTTATGACAAATTATGAGTCTGGAATAAGACTTTCAAACAGTAAAAGACTAATAAAACCAATAATACAGAATCAGATTAGTCTTAACAAGACCTTGTTTCAAAATTATTAAATGTTAAGCAAAATGTTCATTACATTTTGCTCGTCTTCCTTATTTTTAATTCTAATAGTACATGTTACAATGATACCGAGATGCCAGACAAGGTTTTATTGAAATAGCAATAATAATATGTAATATGTAAATTGTTTCAGGACTGTAAATTATGTACCTATGGAAAATATAAAGAATAACCATTAAGAAATGAAATACATATTAATTTGTTATTAACAAGCTAGAAAAATATTTCTGGCCGTTCATTGTGGATGCATATCATTTCTTAATGGACACAGTATGTGGACAATGTACGAAAGTATGAATAGCATGTGCCCTAAATATTATATGAGAGTAAAAACATAAAAAGAAATATGAAGCAATTAGTGTATAGTAGGTAAATTGGCTTTTATAGCTACTCAATGTAACGAAAAACAAAAGCGGTCAGTGTAAAATCCAAATAAAATATTTTTGTAAATTTTTATGTTCCTATAACTTGTGTGATTTATTTGTGGCTGAATGAGCTAAATTTTCTTTCGAATAATTGGTATATTTATAAGTTGTGTAATATTATTAATTAAATATCCGCGACGTACGGTCGATCGCATATTCATTTACAAAAAGATGCGTTTACAAAGGATTTTGAACTTTAAGGTTCAATATTATTGAGATCTTTTTGTTAGTTTTCTTACTGGATGGCGACTGTATTCAAATCAAATTCTTAGATTTTATCATGCCTCTCGAAAATTGCTTCGACGAAACATAGTTTACCCTGTACCAAAACTGCAAATTGATTTTTAGTTTTATGTAATGTGACAATCGTTTAAAGGTGTCCCCGCATTCTGAACGTGAGCTATCCAATAGACTAATATTTGAAATATACAATATTATGTATTTGTATGTGTCGTCTTTTGGTTGAATCGTTCGCTAGATGTAGAATTTTAATGTGATCTTATATTTTTGTCCGTGGCGCCACTGCTTTGATATAACGTAACTCTTAAATAGCATGAAAATCATCTTAAATAGTTTCTGGGGTCGTAATCTATTCTGGAATCTATTTTTTATGAATTATTTTGGCATAAGTACTATGCTGGATTTTTTGTCTGACGTATTGTGTCGTGACGCATCAGAAAGGAATCAGTTTCATACATTAGAGCAGGACTTGCCAACCAGGGGGGCACAGGGCTTAGCTCATGAGTGAGTACGTGAGTACATCTTCGTTTGTTCGGGGAGCCTTGGCCAAATAAAGGTTGGGAAACCCTGCACTAGAGTTTTGTGTCGTGTCGCGATGGCTTCTGACCTGAACCCTGTTCTGTTCTGATGCGTCACGACACGATACGTCAGACAAATAAGTCCGGCGTAACACTGAAAACGCACAACTAGCCCATTGCACTTTCGAATCGCAATAGATACGCGTAGTGTAGAATCGAAATCCTTTGGGTTAATTACTGATTTTATAATGGACGGTAAAATTGAATCTGAATTTTGTTAGTCCCGTAATTACGTTACGTTTACTAATTTCAACGTGATTTTTGGTGGAGAAAAATTATAATAAGCTAATATTGCAATTAGATAATATGGTGTTTAATTTGATGTGCTATCATCTGTACAGTCAGCGTCAAATAGTTCGTGACACCCAAAGTAACCAATAAGTTCGCAATACTTTTTTGTTAAAATTGGAATAAGGTTGTGTTATAAACTACAGTAAACTCTCTATCTCTCTCAATTTCTTGAACTCGTTGGTTTACCTTATTTCTATCTGCTTAACCATGTCACTTTATACAACGACAACTCTATAACGTCAAAAATGCTCAGTCCCTTGAGTGTCGTTACATAAAGAGTTTACGCTATTTGACCACTTTGGTTGTCACGAACTAGTTGGTACTGACTGTACACTAGAGTTACGGAATAGTGGCGGCCCGGCTCTGAATCACAGTAGTGTTGTAGGTGTAAAATATCGGATACGCTTAACTCTCCATATGCGGTACCTGCACTTTCGTTTTATAACAATATACAAAATACAATAATTATAGGAACTTGTAAATGTATGTATTTTTATGTGCTAGTTATTTATTGTTTGTACTTTTGTAGATCAATTCGAATTGACTGCGCATAGGGAGATTAACATAATGTAAGTAACGCACCTATAGTTTAAGGTTTTATCGTTAGAGTTGTATGGGTCTTGAGTTGACGAATGATTGGTCATCATCAGTAGGTACGTCATTGGCCGTTTGTTAGGCCTTGGTCTCCTATAAACGCAGTAGGCCGCATACAAACAAAATGTATTGTGATCTTCTTCATAAGTTGACGTATGGACACTATGGACTTCGATAGGAACGTTTGATGCTGACGTCACACGCCGCGTATAGCGTTTAATAGGAGACCGTAGCCGTTGGTAGCATTAAATGAAGAGGATGTGCTCAGTATTCAGAACAAAAACAAGTTTATTACAATAATTTTGATTTCTTGGAGCTTTTGATATGACTTCAAAAGTTATTTATTTCTAATGTATTCTCTCAAAGA